ATGCTAACCAGAGTGGGGGTGGTGGTGATAAGGAGAAGGCAAATACATCCCACCGATAACATAGAAGGTAGGAAATAGGGAGCAAGGAGGGTCAGAGAAATGAGGGTGTGATGAACCACCACAACGAAACCTTTGGTCTCCAGGGTTCTCCAAATAAGTTCAAGGGCAATGTGAATAAATCAAATAAAACAGTAGGCGTCAGTGACTCAGATTAAGAAGTAATACAGCTACTGAATAAGACAAGGGAAAGTCACTATGCATCATTCTCACGTTTTTCTGTAACTATAATTACAGTTTGGGATTCACCCAGCTTTTCAGCTGGCACAACCACCAGGGTAGTATAATCAAGTTAGAAATATTTGAATGGTGGCAAACTGGTTACTTGGTTGTAGTAGAAAAGGGTTTTTAATTCCTAGATTGATTTTGTTTAAATGTCATTTTCATATGAGTTCTAAACAAATAAAACTATGATTTGTATTTCAAAAGTGAGAATGAAATTCACTTGATGGACTTCTGATAGTTCCGAGACTTACAGCTTAGTGTCTTCATGTGGACAGACAAGGGAAGGGGTATACACTGTACCAGTACAGGCTTCGGATAGGCTTGAGCCTCCCATGGCCCATAGTGATGCCCCACCAGCTCTGACCACATCCAGGTCTCCCCCCAGGACTGAGCTACTAGAATCCCCACACCAGCCCCACTGCTCAGCAAGAAATTGGCATCACGTAGGAGAGAAGAAACAGAGCAAAACAGCATACTCTGGGAAAACGCTTTGGAGCAAGGTCTTTCAGCTGAGTGGGAGAGCGCACTCCTGTCTCCCTTGAGCCCATTCTGGGCCTGAATTGGAAAAGATGTGCTTTCTCCTCTTCTGAAGTGGTGGGAGGTGAGGGCTGAGTAGTCTGATGGAGACAAGAAAACCTCCATCTTATAGTCCAAACCATCTGATGCTGTATCCCTGTGGATTCCACTCTTCTGTTATCCCTTCTCCTCCTGTACAATCTTCTGAGGCCTTGGCAGATGTCAGCTGTGCTCATAGGAATTAGTCAAGTGTCGATAGGCCAGAGCATCCAAGGTGGGCAAGTGGCAACTGTTGTTAATAGGAGAGCCTCTGAAGGACAAGAGCCGGGGCTACAAGATCTAATTTCCCTTCTTAAGGGGAAAATCTCTCTCTCTCTCTCTCTCTCTCTGTGTGTCTCTCAGATGATCAGGGTTTGATTTTCTTAAAGCAAACGGCAGGACGCCTGGGTGGCTCAGTGGTCAAGCATCTGCCTTTGGCTCAGGTCATGATCCCAGGGTGCTAGGATCAAGTCCCACATCAGGATCCCCAAAGAAAGTTCCTCCCTCTGCCTGTGTCTCTGCCTCTGTGTCTCTCGAATAAATAAATAAAATCTTTAAAAAATAAAATAAAGCAAATGGCAGCACCCCTTCGAAGCTAGCTGGGTATGGAGGGAAGAAGGGTTCCCATCTGTCAAGGGCCCCAAAAGAATTCCATCTGAGATAGGTGGCCTCCAGCCATTCAGACCCAATGCTCTGCAGCTGTGAGAGCCAGTGTGCATCTCCTCCCTCACCCCCGACACTTACTCTAGATGTCGTGGATTTGCCATCGATAGAAGACTCTTTAATTCTAAGGAAACCAGGGTAAAATTTTCTACTTTCTTCATTTTCCAGACATAGCTCTGGATAAATCAACCCAACAAAGTATGTGTTGAAGGAAAGTTTATTGAAAAATGAATCGGCATCAAGAGCCAAGGAAAGGTCAATGGATTCCAAAGGCTCTGAGGGACAGTGCCCCCAACCCCATGTAGGTCAGATGGCTCCTTATAGTTCTGTGAGGCACGCTGAGCACTTTCGCCTCTGTGTCTTCATCTCGTTTGACCTTCTGGGAAAAGACCAGACCTTCCTGGACCCTTATTTGATGTGACCCAGTCTTCACTCAGGACTTTCTCATGAATAGACTCATGGTATTTGAGGGGAGAATCCAAAGGAAGTGGGTTCTGGGCTGACTCAGTCATTATGGGAAGGTGAGCCAAAAGGTGACTGAGGGGTTCGGCACCTGTACTTCATATTTTCTCTGACCCATTCACCTCTCACCCCTGCCCCCAGGATAGCCTGAGGAGAACTGGGGCCCACACCCAAAGAATGGGGATAAGGCCCCTTTTACCTCAGCCCCACCGTGGAAACATGAGAGAATTAGTGGAGGCCTTCAGCTTTCATATAATCCACCTTTTGTCAGTTGTCCGTGGACATCTAACCTTCTTTCTTATGCAGACTTAGACATGAGTCCATCAGCTGGCAAATGTGTCTTAACCTTCTAAACACCATTTCAATGGCAAAGCCGAGCTAATTCAGTTATTTATATTTTTACCACATGGTATCCCTTTATCCATTAAAAACTAGTAGAAGTTAACAATGGAATTGTTGAAACTAGTAAACTAATACTAATAAAATTGAGGATGAGATGGGCATCACTGAGTATTCAGAATGGCAAATATTTAGTATGAGGCTTAACACTTCTTGATTACACAGCCTAATTATGTATCTAAATACTGAGACCAAATGTCAAAGAACACCTACAAAGCAGTGGAAATGCACATTTTGGGGACTGATTATGGATGAGATGGAAGAACCTCCGTGGAATTCCAGCACCCCTTCCCTGAAGTCTCCGATTGGAATCATCTCATTCTCCGACATGAGTAATTAATGGTTTCTCCATTTTTGGCCAAGGCCTAGCTACACAAACACTACTTCAAGCCCTTCTCTCCCACCACCACCACCACCCCAACTGACGAGTGCCTCTGAACCTCTCCTACAGAAATTCTGGAAGGCTCTGAAGGAAACAGTCTTCAGGACAAGTTGTCAAGTCTCATTTGAGGAGTGTTCGGATGAAATTATGGCAAGAAGTGAACAATCCCAAGTACCATAACAGAGTGCTTGGAATCACAGCTGCTGAGTGTCTGAGGAAGAACTGAACATGGTCTGAGACATGATTGGACTGGCATGTGGCCAGGGGAGGAGTAACAGCGCTGTCCTCCAGAGGCCCAGGATAGGGACAGTATTATCAATTGGGTCTCCTCAGCTCAGGTATTTCCTTCAAATACTCCTCTGGCCTGAGATATTGTGTGGTAGAATGAGTATGGCTAAAGGTTCCTGGCACCCACCTCCCAGGACCGGGCTTCAAAACTCTCTGAGCTCCCCACAATCAAGGCCAAGCAGTGAGTAAGGACAATAATCAAAAACTCCATTGGAATAGATATCCTGTGTGAATACCCAAGGATCAGGAAGGCTAGGGGTCCCTGAAAACATGGATGAGGATATATGGAAGAGGATACCAGCCAGCAGACAGGGCAGGGTGGTCTGGAAAGTTACTCCAGCTGAGTCCCCACAGCATGGGACATAGTCATAGACCCCAAAGATGCCAATATGGAGCACCCTGTCTCCAGGGGTATTTTTTGTGTGACTTTAAGAAGCTAGTAGAAAATTTAAGATGTTCCAAAACCATGAGCTCCCTAATGCAAAACATTCGGTGCCAATTGATTTTTTCCCCTTCAATTAAACCTCTTCCCCTGAATATCATGGCCAGAGTACTTTCAAGTATGTCCAGTCTGTTCATAAATAACAACTATTTATCATACCCATCCTCACATATGTTACATCTTTTATCCTCGTGTCATCCCTGAATGATGACAAGCTCAGAGAGGTGGACCAGATTCTCAAAAGCCCAACAGACAGTGGATAAGTTGAGTTTCAAACACAAGCTTTTCCCCACTAGGCAGAGCCCCGGATCCCCAGATTCCCAAGTAGTGAGGGTAAGAGATGAAATTCAGTGAAATCCAATGCTAGATGTGATAAAGCTTTCCCAGGAAGGGGCATAATATCCTCCATTGATGTCTCTCATCTAAAACCTCCAGCCAGTCAGAAGGATCCATTCAAGAAAGGCAAAAGTTATTGAAGGAATTCTTAATCTTGAATGTTAAATTTCATGTGAACTTAAACGCTACAGCTTTGCTTCCTGCTGAGCAAAAACAAGACCAAACAATGGGATGCCTGGGTGGCTCAGCAGTTAAGCATCTGCCTTTGCCTCAGGGCATGATCCTGGAGTCCCAGGATTGAGTCCCACGTCAGGCTCCCTACAGTGAGCCTGCTTCTCCCTCTGCCTGTGTCACTGCCACTCTCTTTCTGTGTCTCTCATGAATAAATAAATAAAATCTTAAAAAAAAAATAAGACCAAATAAAACAAAAATATGTACCCTCCTGACAAAGCCTTGAGTAAATCAAATCAAGGGAAATCACTCAGAAGCCCTGTGTACTTCTAGAAGTCCATTCCCAGGTTTCTAGAAGTTAGTTCCAAAGAGTGGCAGTTGTCACAGGACTGAGAGGGTCAGAAAAGTTGTTGTAGGGTAAGAGCCACAGCACAGTGAGAAGGCAGAGTCATCTGTCCCAACTCTGCCATCAAGTATTTAGTTTACTCCTTTTGCTTTTCCGGATCCCATCTGACTCGGATCTGTTTCCCAATCTTTCTCACATCACAGAGCACAGACTGATAAGGCCTACAGCTCCAGACACACTGTGAGGAAATATCTCAGGAGTAACTGTCCTTGGAGACCTGCAACTCATTTGTGGTGGACCAGTAAGGCAGCCCTGGGCTACATGATGACTAAAATAGGATGAAAATCTCAAATCTGTGTTACTTTCCAAACAACTTTCAGGAGGACCCCAAAAGGCTCACTCAGTACATTTATCACTGGACCTCTACATAGAGTCCTATAAAATTCTGAGATCACATCTTATAAGTACAGAAGTGAAAGTCCCTCTAGGGAAGGGGTCCTTTTCTCAGGGCCTGTGGACCTTTTTCTCCATTGAAGAGTTTGAAAAATTCTGTCAACCTTCTCAAAATGCAGTCAAAATTTCATGTGTATGTGCATTTTTTTCTAGGGAGATATATACATCGTTCCTAAATTATCAGAAAGGGCCACTATTTAAAAAGACAGAATTTACTAAGATAAGGCAAGCCTTATGCGTCTTTTAATACATGTGTCTGTATTGTACAAATCCTGATTCAGAGCACGTGGTCTGTCACTAAGAGAATATATTCAAGCCTGAGAACACCAGCACCATGTCCAAATACATAAAATTCACTTGTTTTTCCAGCTGTAGGTTTTTTCAACCTACATATGTAGGTTCCATAAAAGGCTGGAACCCTTGAGAAAAGAAGCTTCTTCCATAGGACACAAAACATATTTGATAACAATAAAATTGCAATGTGCTGATTTAATTCATTAATGTTATCACGTTAATACACTTTGGCATGCTTTTAAACAAAAAGAAACATAGGGGACATACTGGAGAGGAAGGAAGTTTTTGACTTAAAAAATAATTCCAATTAAAAAAAATTCACCAATAGTGCTGGCATCCCATCTGCCATAGATTTTTTTTTATTTTATTTTATTTATTTATTCATAAGAGAGAGAGAGAGAGAGAGAGAGAGAGAGGCAGAGACACAGGCAGAGGGAGAAGCAGGCTCCAGGCAGGGAGCCCGATGTGGGACTTGATCTGAGGTCTCTAGGATCCCACCTTGGGCTGAAGTCAGTGCTAAACTACTGAGCCACCTGGGCTGCCCTGCCATATTTTCAGAAAATATCTTTGCCTCTGATGGAATGGCTTTTTTTTTTTTTTCTCATAGCCTCAACTTGTGTAGATACAGTCATTTATTTATAAAATGTTAGTCACTGGAGAATCCTGGAGAACCTTTTCCTAAAATTCATAGGCATGCTGGGAGGGCCTGACAGAGGACACATTCTATGGTCTCACCCTGTCTCCTGAATCATGGGGCTGCTCTGCCTCTCTTCATCCTCTGGAGAGAAAGGGCTTGGAAAGAAGGTGGAGGCTGTAGGGGATGGTTTCCACATAAGACAAAGTGAAGAGCAAAGTGCCACAGAGCCTTCTCCAACATCAACAGCAATCTCCAGGTACTAAGCAGAGAAGAGAAATCTGAGGGGTGAAGGGGAACAGAATGAGGAACACATCAGAGGCCTATAAAGGAGGACGCAGAGCTAACTGTTTCTGTTCCCTTCCTCCCACCTTGCTCCACACACTACTCTTTCCTGCATGCTGGGGTCTCTGTTCTCCCAACTCATTCCTCCTGCTCCTCTTCCCCCTCCCCCGTCTCCTGTCTTGCCCATTGGTCGACCCCCATCCAGCCCCCATGGACTCTTCATCAGGGCCATGCTTTAGTCTGTTTGGGCCACCATCATGAGATACCACAGGCTGAGTGGCTTATAAATAACAGAAACGGTAAGGGACTTCTTGGGGTATCTTCCATGAGAGTACTATTCATGAAATCTCCACCCTTCTGACCCGATCACCTCCTGAAGGCCCCAGCTCCCAAAACCATGACATTGGGTGTTAGGATCGCAACATGTGAATGTGCAGGACACAAAAATTTTGACCACAGCAGGCCACTTGTTAGGGCTTGATATCATCAACCACAGAACAAGAGACTTGGACTCTTATCTAAGCTCCTCAGGTCAGAGTCTTTGAAAGTCATAATGAGTTTACAGCTAATTTTTAGCATCAAAAATCCTTGGGCCTTGTTTGCTATGCCATAAATTGACTTGTGATGAGGGGATGCTGAAAGATTAATTTGTTTCACATGGCCTAGAATTGCATCATGTCCAGGTGCTAACTGTGTCTCTCACATGTTGCTCAGAATCCTGGCACTCATAGGCCAGCTGGAAAAACAAGTGAAATGTTACTTATTTTGATTTGACAGATAAAGTCTTTCAAGGGGGCCCAATGGGAAGGTAGTTAATGGGCAATCCCAGTGGGGCCACACTTGTGTGACCTCTAAGTGACTTCCAGTATCCGTGTACTAAGATTGTGGTCATGAAAAAAGTGCTGTTCTCCCTGCCAGCCCTCCCTAGGACCACAGATTGCCTCCTGCCATCCCTTGGCTTCCCTATCTGGCCCCATGGGTGTCACACTGTGCACCAAACTTCTTGACATCTCAACTGCCACTCTATAATCCTCCCTGTCCCATCCCCCAGGGGCTCACATGCTATATCTACTTTGTGTTCAGGGAGGGTTCATCAGACCCCATAAGTGAATGAGGGCCTCTTGGAAAAGTGACATCTTCCCCTAAAGGAGCTCTGATTAAAACGAGCAACAGACAGAGGCCCTGTTGCAACAAGTACACAATGGCAAGCTTCAAGTCGTCGGCCCAAATGCAATGCATCCTTGTCCAACCGTGAGCCACTCCATGCCACCAACACCATCATGGGTAACCAACCCCACACTGGCCCCCCACTAGCCAGCCATGAGGTGTCAGGACGTGTGCTTCAGCAGCTGGGCAGAAGAAGATGGTGGAAGCTTCTTGGGTGGCATGTGATACCTCACTTTTTTCCAGAACTTGGTCTTTGCACACTGTGACTGTTCAGTGATGTCCCCACTCCACTGGATGGCCCCGTGCTTCTGCTTGATGTACTGAATGGACTCCGGCATGGCTGTGTAGTCCTTGACTTTCTCCAGTTCAATCAGAATGACTTTCATCCCATCCTGGATGAGTGCGTTGTAGACTGCAATTTGTTCTTCTGACATGTTCTTTAACAAGTCAAAGCTCAGGGATTCGGGAACTAAGATGATGATCAGTCTCCTGCACAACTTGATATTTTCATCGATGACATTGGCCACAGCTGGAAATAAAGAAGATGTATACTATCTCATGAGTGAAACAGCCTCAATTCATCTCTGAGAATATTAGAAATGGGCCTTGGAAAGACAACGTGGACTTCAGAATAAATGTGACTTAGCAATGGATGACAAAAGCGTTTTTGTTTTTTTTTTTAACATTTATCATATCCTCTGTGAAAACTTCCTGATTTTCCCTGAAGAATTGGTCCTTTGTGTTCATAAGTCATATTTTTTGGTAGTTATTGACAGGTCACTTTCCTCTGCTCACTGGCTCCACCTCCAGACCACGACCTACTCAGAACAAGGATCTTATCATGCCTAACTTATCATGTCACCAACCTAACTAAAGGTCTAGTATATATTAAATAATGAGCACACTTTTAAAATAGATTTTAACAGGGAAAATATAGATAGCTCCAATGTTGTATTAATCTTATTTTGTGTTTTCCTCTTGTACTTTGTAGCTACTTAAATGCCCAGGATTTATAGGACTAACTTGAAACTAAATAACACTTCCTGAGAGTTCTTAAAATATCCAGCTATGGACAAAACTTGGTCTTTTTTAGCAATAAAGATTAACTTTTACTTCCCCCTTATTCTTAGAATACAAGCCTAGACTGTGACTGTCCCAAGATCATGTTCTTCTCTTCGGTTTATTTTTACATTTTTAGTGCCTAGAATATTACCTGGCGCATAGCAGGTGCTCAATAAATATTTGCTGAATAAGTGAGTGAAAGAATATGCTGATGAAATGTGAGCTCTTCCACATGTTTATGGTGAGCACTAGATCCAATTTTCATTTCCTAATGGAGGCTGATTTTATAACTTGAAAAGATGCGGGCTGAGATATAGTTGTCGCTCCCCATGGATATGAGCAACCTACAAATCCAGCAACCTTTACAAACAACCCAGAACAGACCACTCTCAAATGTTGTACTCATGGTGTCCTCTTGACTAGTGGAAGATATTTATTTCAAATTTCAGCCATTTGTTGTATGGCATTCCAAGAAAGGAAACGTGTAGGCCAAGAGGGAAACTTTATCTGTTGAATATCTAATATGCACTAAGCTCCATACTGGTCCCTGCTCAGGATTTACCTCATTTCATTCTCCCGCCCAGGTCAGGGAAGCATTCTCCTCCCCATTTGACAGATGAGACAGCTGAGGTTCAGAGATGTCACCTGCATTGCCCAAAGCTACACTCTTGTTCAGCAGGAGACATAAATAAATAAACTCTATTTTATTTAAGTAGGAGAAGCCTGGGCAGTCAAGGTTTATAAAATCAGCATTAAACATGAGCTGATTTACATATTCAAACGGATGGAGAATAATCAGCTGTTAGTCTCAAAGACATGAGAGCAAATGACCTCTTTTCTCCTTTTGGTCTCTCAGCCAAGGCTGTCATCCGCCACCTGCTCATGTTACTCACAGTGAGAATCACATTATTTCAACCAGGAATCCCAGTTATCCTGTTACAGGCCTGAGGCTCAGGGACTGTGGGCTGAGCCCCCCACCCCACCATTTGTAAAGTGAAGGAAAAAAGAATTTCCCTTTCTTTTTATTTGCTGTTCTTCCATCTCACTCAAAACATACCTTGTCCAGGAAACTCATCCCTGCCAAATATGAATAACTTATATCCACACTGCCTTTCCAGCACCTCGGGCAGGATCTTCAACACCAGCGTGTCCACATCATGGCTCTGGATTTCTCCTTGAGGCTTGGGGTATAAGACATAGGCATCATACAGCTTGCCATCTGAAAAGGAAAAGGCATTATTCCTAGCAAATTATCTTATTTTAACAGAGCACAACTGAGTGGCTACTGTGATGTCCTCCTCCCTTGCGTTCAATGACTTCAGAGCGCCCGGTGGGCTGGTGCCAAGCATTGCCACACCAGGCTTCTCATTTTCTCAACACTAAATATTTCACTTCCTGCTCTTTTGCTTGCGTGGTTGGTCTTTTTTAGCAATAAAGATTATTGCTGGGGGACAAGCTGAATGCAATTCACATCTTTGTATCTCGATAGGTAAGGTGTTATTTTTTCCCTCCCTCTGGCTTCTTTGAGGATTTTTTCCCTTATCTTTGATTCTTTTGTAGTTTGAAAATGATATGCCTAGGTTTTTGTTTGTTTCTCCTGTTTGGTATTCTCTGAGCTTCCTGGATTGCGGTTTGGTGCCTGACATTAATTCGTGGAAATTCTCAGTCATTAGTGTTTCAGATACTTTGTTCCTTTCTCTCTTTCTTCTCCTTTGGGGTTCCCATCACACTTACGTTACACCTTCTGTGGTTGTCCTACACTCATTGGATACTTTGTTCTTCTCCTCCCCCCCTCCAGTCTTTGTTCTCTTTCTTTACATTTTTGGAGGTTTCTAGTGTAATATCCTCAAGCCCAGAGAGTCTCTGCTCAGCCATGTCCACCCCACTAACAAACCCATCACAGGCAGTCTTCATTCTTGCTACAGCTTCTTTTTTTTTTTTTAATTTATTTTTTTGTAAGTTTTTTTTTTTTTTTTTTTTTTTTTTTTTTTTAATGATAGTCACAGAGAGAGAGAGAGGCAGAGACATAGGCAGAGGGAGAAGCAGGCTCCATGCACCGGGAGCCCGATGTGGGATTCGACCCCGGGTCTCCAGGATCACGCCCTGGGCCAAAGGCAGACGCCAAACCGCTGCGCCACCCAGGGATCCCAGCTTCTTCTTTTTTTTTTAATTGCTAGCTTTCTTTTTAGATCTTTTTAGGATTTTCATCTCTCTGCTTATATCACCCATCTGTTGTTGTATACTGTCTGCTTGTATGCATTAGATCTCTTGGCATACTTACTGATCATGGATGCTTTAAATTCCCAGTCTGATCATTCCAACATCCCTGCCATTTCTGGCTCTGATGTTTGCTCTGTCTCTTCAAATTGTGCATTTGCCTTTTAATATGCCTTATACTTTTTCCTGATAGCTGGATAGAATGTACTGGCAAAAGAAAGTATATGGATGCCGATACTTGGTGTCCCTGTACCTGATTCAGCGGTTGAGCATCTGCCTTTGGTTCAGGGAGTGATCCTGGGGTCCTGGGATTGAGTCCTGCATCAGACTCCCTGTGGGGAGCCTGCTTCTCCCTATGCATGTGTCTCTGCCTCTCTGTCTCTTATGAATAAATAAATAAAATCTTTTTTTTTTTTTTTTAAAGAAAGTATAACCTGGCCTTTAGTAACATGGTGATGAGGTGTGTGGGAAGGGGAGGGTATGGTCCTGTGATTGGCTCTGTCTTTTAGTGACTCTGAACTATGAACATCACAAGTATTTCCCAGTTTTTTATCCCCACTTAGGTGGGGCAGGATGGCCAAATTGGGCTGGAGTTGGGTATTTCCCTCTGCACAGGTCATTTAGGCTCTGATAATACACTAGTGGGCAAGGCTTTCATTAACTAGTTTATCCTAAGGGCAGACCTTGTTAATAAGAACAATGCTCTAGGGTATTTTAGAATGATTTTTCTCCTCCCTCTGCTGGAAGCACAAGGAATTTTTTCTTTTCTTTTTCTTTCTTTCTTTTTTTCTTTTAGATTTTATTTATTTATTCATAAGAGGCAGAGACACAGGAAGAGGGAGAGGCAGGCTCCCTATGGGGAACCCAATGTGAGACTCGATCCCTGGACCCTGGGATCACACCTGAGCCAAAGGCAGACGCTCAACCACTGAGCCACCCAGGTGTCCCCAAGGAGATTTTTCTTTGATATTTATGGTCAGAATCAGGTCAGGCTTCTAGGGGTAAAATAAAACTCATAAATTGTGGGTTTCAACTCCTTCTGACTAGGTCCCCCTAAAGATTTTAAGTCTCAGATTTGTCCTCATTGAGCCTCCAATGATTTGTCGGTTATGGTTGATTTTCCTGTCCCTTCATCTTTGACCTATGAGGAAGATGGTCCTATCCCTGTTACATAAGAAACACGTCTCCAAAGTCACACAGCCCCAAGTCCAACCTGACTCCTTTGACTCTAAGTCCACCCCTCCACATGGTGAAAATGAGAATTGAAAGCAGGAGTCTCCATCCATGTCGCTCTTGATGGGTCCTGTGCATGGGACTGTCGTAACTGTACCAGGCAAAATGGGCCAAGTCTCTCGTGATTCAGACCACCCATGAATTTCATCAGTGCAGTTGCACACAGCATTGTAGAGACCAAGCCTCTTAGCAAACTCCAGGAATCTGCTGTGCAGTACAGTCAAGTCCAACACAACAGCCCATTTCGTCATCACCAAAATGATCCAAGCACTCATTGAGCAACCCACCACATGTAACAGTCACTGTGCTCACCCCTGTACAGATGAACAGGACTCAAGGTCTAACTGGAAAGACCATTCAGAGACTTGGAAGTAAAAACACGGGGTGCTACAAAGATAACAAGTGGCTGAATGAACCGGAGAGACAGAAAGAATCAGAATTCGCCCATAGCCTGAAGCTCTTGAGGAAAATTCACAAAGAATGGAGGCACCTCCTGGATTTTAAAGGGTTTGGGGGAAAATGAGGCACTAGAAGTGGAGGGTAAAGAGGCCAACAAAGAGAAGAGCTTGGATAGGGAATGCTTATACTCTGCTCCGGGGTCATAGAATGAGTAAGAAGCTGTAGCAGGGCTCAAAGGTTTGAGTGAGCCTCTATTAGAAAATGTGATCTTTTTTGAGCTCCAAGCTATTTGAAAATTCACAGCCAACCTAATGGGACTCAAGAGGGAGCCATTCCTTTCTATTCCCTTTTTCTGAAAGTTTGTTCGATTGACCAGACCTGAAAAGAGGGCTGGCTCTGAACCCTACCACCCCCTGCCCCAAAGAAAAAGAGTAAAATCTTGTATACTTCTAGTTTTTGTCTAAATAATAGTGCAGACGGTCCCCAACTTCAGATGGTTAGACTTAACAATTTTTTGCCTTTATGATGGTACAAAAGTAATACACATTCAGGAGAAACTGCACTTCACATTTTGAATTTTGATCTTTCCCACATGAGTGATGTGCAGTCCTATCCTCTCTCTGATGCTGGGCAGCACAAAAAGCCACAGCTCTGACTCAGCCAGGCAATCTCGAGGGTCAACAATCGATATACTGACAACCATCCTGTACCCACACAGCATGCTGTTTCCCACCTTCAGGGCAGTATTCAATCAATCGCATGAGACAGTCAACACTTCATTAAAAAATAGGCTCTGGTTAGAGATTTTGCCCAACTGTAGGCTAATGTAAGTATTCGGAGCACATGTAAGCCAGGCGGGGCTAGGCTGTGATGTTCTCTGAGTTACCTGCATTGAATGCATCGTAAACTTACGAAATTTTTAAGCGTATGATGGGGTTATCAGGATATAACCCCATCATAAGTCAGGGAACAGCTGTAGTTATATATGTACAGAACTTCAGAGTTTATGTGTAGCTTTTTCTCATTCTGTAAATTCTCAAACCAACCACCACTGACAACTTTTGAGTCTCTGCCCACCATTCCTGGCCATCCTATGGGAAATGGCAATGCACACACGTGCGCACACATGCATACCCTTCCTCAGTCTCCCCACCCCCTATCATGACAGGAAGCCGTGTGGGAATGGGGGTTCTTTTTGGAGTGGTTCCACCCTCAGTGCAGAGCAGGACCTGAGACAGAGGAGGTTCTATCGGTAGTTGCCAAATGTCTGAAAGGAGCTTGATTTTAAGAGGCTCAAGGAGGTTGTTATATCTACATGGGAGAGAGAGAAGTTTTAGACCACGTGCAAATTCAGCTTTTTAATAAATTAGGGTCATAAGGCAGGTACCAAAGGGATGATCATTAATTTGTGTCTAAACTCCTTCTGTAACATCGTCAATGTGACTAGTCCATACTGCCACTCCGTAAGTGGATATTTTTCTGAATTAAATTTCACATCATACACATGACTTTCTAAAGCCAAGGGAAACACGAAAAATATTTTTTTAAGATTTCATAAAGGTTTTGTTTTTAAACATTTGAGAAAAATTAAATTTCCTCACTTAAAAATATGATGATATTTATCCTTTTATGATAAAAGGTTGGTTGAGCTGGTACTCCCCTCACCAAAGCAGAGCCTCCCCAGTGAGTACAGTATTTCTTGGTCTGTAAACTGTAGCAAGCATCAGTGTTCATCACCACCTCTGTCTGAAACCCTGCCACTGGTATCTCTCTTCACTCAAGCTGTTTCTGTTTGTCATTTAAAAAAAAAGAAAAAAAAAAGGAGGGGGGAAGGAACTGTTTGTTGAGTGAATTTTCCCTTTTGACAGTGTTCCATGTTCCCTGTTTTTAAACAGGGTGTCTGAAAATAGAGGTGCTGCATGGTGTGCAAATGCAGACTCCGAGACAGAAGAGATTTGAGTAGCAAGGGATTCTCAAACCTTTTAGAAAATCAAACTATAAAATGTTCCCAATTTTTTGGTCATCTTTTTTTTTCTTTCTATGCTCTGGAGTAGAAATGTTACCTTTGTGGCTTGTTCTCAAAATGCAGTGGGTTCTCCCCAACTTGCAAATGATCAATTCCTCCTTTATTGACCAATAGAGCAAAAAAAACAAGCTGTGGCCATTTAGCTTTTTGAGTCGGCCTGTGCTTTGGAAGGGCGTTCTCAGACAACTGCCTGCCAGCACATCACGGCTCTGCCTGTCACGGTCACGGTGAGTGTCACATTTGTACCATCGAATCACATGTAAGGGACCTGAGGCAGACAAGGCTGTGCTATTTCTCTGGTCTTGCAGCTGCCAAGTGCACAGCCTTGGTGCACACCCAAGTCCACCACTCTCTGTGGTGTGGCTGAGATGAAAATCGGGAGGAGGAAACTTCACAAAGTGTGTATCCTTGATTAGTCCTGTGCAAGTGTGTTAGACGGCATTAAAAAAAAAAATAGCCTCAGCGGTATTTCCAGTTCCACATGCTCTTTCAGAAGTGACCACACCCCCCTCCACACACACACACACACACACACACACATACACAAAAAGGTGGAATCTATTTCCACTCCCTTAAAATTGACTAGGACTCTGTAGCTGCCCTGACCAGTAGAACTGACATTAGAAATTTAGGATCTGAATCATAAGAAAAAATACTGCCTTTCCTGGCTCTCTTGTTCTTGGAACGCTAGCGCTTGGAAGCCAATCAACCTGCCATGAAGAAGCCCAACGTAGCCCACATAGAGACTGCATGGAGTGCCGCTGGGGAAACTGAGGCCATCAACTGATAGGCAAAATCTACTGCCAGTCCTCCAGCTGGGTTCCCAGACATCATGGAGCTGGGACAAGCCATCCTCACTGTGACTGTCCACATCCTGACCCACAGAACCCACCAGCAAAATAAATGGTTGCTCTATGCTACAAAGCTTATAGGTAATTTGCTTCCTGGCCATAGTAACTGCAAGAGCAATTGAGAAGGTAACAATGAATGGCATAGATAATGATGAGCTTGACATGCCCCCCAACTCTCTATTTCACCCAGAAAACTGTAGAAATGTAGCCCTACTAGGAAGTTCTTTGAGGAAATGGCCTGGGGGCAGATACTCCCACAGCCTGCCTCTATCTAGCAGTGGGGTGACGGTTTATCTAGGTTCTAGCCAAGCTCCTTCTATTTCCTGAGGGGATTCAGTCCTATTTTTGATAAAACATCTGCATATGCCTTTATTGGCCATTGGCAGAAATACAAGTTTATTTGTATATGTTAAGGTTTATGAGAGATTGCTTTTAAAGATTATTTTATCCCCTCTTACTTTCTTTTCTTAGGTTATTGCTAAATTTCAAAAGTAGTCAAACCGGACCAATGGAAAAATCAAACAAAATCAATTTGGCCTTCACATGTTTGTTTGTTTGTTTGTTTGTTTTTTTACCTCAACTGCATGAAATTTGGCATTTTAGCCCTAACATGGAAGACACTAGAAGAAAAGCCACATTAAACATTTACCACAGGAATGTTGTTGTAGACAAGATTTATTATATTCATTACACCCTTTAAACATAAACTTTTCCTTGGAAAATTGTCCCAGAAAAAGCCATGTGCTGTCATGAGTAATTAAAGGGTATTTGTGAACAGCACACAACACATCCTGTCATTGCTTTTGCCTTTACTTCTGAAGCCAATTCATCTCGAAAAAGTGTCCAAGATTTGTCCTTAGTTCTATCTCCAAGCTTCATTTCACCATTTTACCTTCTGTTCACTCCACCTTCTTTTTGTTTTTCATCGATCCATTCTACAGGCATGTTCTCCACAAACTTGTTTGGAAGGTAGTGAGACATATGCAAATCTCCCCAGGAGATGTGCAAGCTCACCCTTGTATTTTGGGACACACAAGCATACCTAGAAGGAGAATTTTTAAAGTAGCTCCTATAATTTACTGGAGAACATACAGAACTTGTGGAGTAGGACTGTCAGTGACTCAACAAAACTGTGAGCTATTATATCCACCTATTACTCATGTTACAAAGCATAACTAATCTAGTTGCAGAAATGATTTACCATAAGAAGGACACAATTTATCGATTTCCTCACTTGTATTTGCCACCCCTTGCTCCACAGTTTCCCCAATAAGCCAGGAAATATCCCCCAGGATCACAATGCTGGAAAAAGCACCCGGGACAGATCTTAAGTCTCATCGCTAGCTCATTGTCAAAGCCAACACTCAGACAGGAATTACGGGGTAGTTCTCTAGGTGAAGCTGCAGAGATTTAATCATAAAGTACGCAAGTACTTATCTGAATTAAGGGGGGAAAAAAGAGGAACCCTGGCTGACTGTGAGCCCCTATGTCCAAATTCGCAGCCTGAATTTGGGCTGGAGCCCGGTCTCAGCAGAGGGCGGGGCTCCCTGCGTCTCTCATCTGCTCAGCTCTGCTGCTCACCCCCTGCTTTGGGGTGAATCACTATTCCTACTTTCTCTTCCTGCTAAACTCAACCTCACCAGCAAGCAGCTGCACAGGCCCTTGGCTCTCACGCTCCTGGGAGTCATGGTGAGTCAGGGAGTGAGACACGCACCAGGACCAGCGATCTGGGAACACCACTCACGCCCCTGCAGGTTCCAGTCAGTTGATAAGCAGAAAGCCGACGGATTGCTCACACGCCTGTGTCAGAAAAGATAAGTGGTGGTGCACTGGCCTCCTCTGCCACAGATGCAGGTGGGAGCATAGCCACAGGGAGGCTCTGTGGGGACCCCCGCCCCAAAGACAGACCCCCCACACACACCCAGCTGACTGTCCACAGCACTAGGCTGCTTCAGGTTGCACTTGATGTGCAGTCGGGTTTCCACGACTGAATTTTGCCCTGAAAAAAGAACGCGTTGCCTCCTACATTGTTCAATGACTGCCAATTTTGAATTCTGAAATTGAACTTAAAAATAAAGCTCAGGTTAGGGCATCTGCTGCAATTTGCACTGTGTGTTGTATATGTAAACCCGGCACCTGACATGAATAATGCCCTTCTTAGTGGTAGGTACTAATAAAACGTGTTTGGACACCCACTTCTCTGAATTCTAGCTCTTGTCCACATTGCTAGTCTCTGGACTTGAGTGGTATAAATGAATTTCCATGCACATGAAATGCATAGACTTCTCTCAGCCATGTATTAATTTTCCATCCAATCAGGGGACATTAAAGCAGACATAATACTTTTTTCAAGGCCTTACTAGATCACACCATTCTGAGACAACAAGAAAATAGCACAGACTTTTAAAAACCACCATGGTTGGCAGGGGTGGTGGCTCAGTGGGTTAAGTGTCCGACTCCTGATCTCAGCTCAGGTCTTGATCTCAGGGTCGTGAGTTCAAGCCCTGCATCGGGGCTTGAAAAACCCCACCACTTTGATGGGAAGTGCCTATTCCTCAGTTTCAGGATCACACTCAGGCATTTGTGTGTTCAGACGTGCTGCCAGGATGTCTGTTGAACAGACCACACTGAAACCTGGGGCAGAGTGGCAGGGCAGCTGGCTCTGGCCTTCAGACAACAAGATGCCCCTTGTGCCCCAGGTCCTTGCTCAGGGTGTTCCTGGACTTCAACTCAATTGTGGCTACAAAACTCTGTGAGGCAGGGTCTGGTCATTTTCTACCCCCTCCCTCCTTTCCTCTGTCCCCTCTTCTTCTCTTCCTCCCTTTCCTTCCCTCCTTCTTTCCTCCCCACCCTCCTCCCTTCTCTTCTTTCTTCCTTGTTTCTTTTTTTCTTTCATTCTATAGCCAATACTTCCTAAGATCATATGGAAGTAAGTGGAGAACCAGACACAAACCCCCAAGTTTCTCTCCAGCCTTGGGAGTCAGGGACTTAAATCTTCCAGGCAGAGATGCCTGGGTGGCTCTGTGATTGAACGTCTGCCTTAGGCTCAGGGCATGATCCTGGGGTCCTGGGATTGAGTCCCACATCAGGCTCCCCACAGAGAGTCTGCTTCTCCCTCTGCCTGTGTCTCTCATGAATAAATGAATAAAATTTAAAATCAAACAATCATTCCATCAGGCATCAAGTACCCAGTCTAGAAAGAGCTGAGCCACAGGCAGCTCATCAATCTCCATACCATAAACTCTGCTCCTACGCCCACGGTGTTGAAGATGTATTGCAGGTGAAGAGCACACTGTTGCTCTAGGAAAAGCTGTCTTCTTTGGCAAACAGCAGTAGATGTGAGAACCTCTCTGAAATGGTCACAGTGGGACCCAGAAGATGATGTGCTCCTGCTACTTAGCAAAGATTTGCTCAGCCACGATTAGCCCACAAGCCTCATTTGACTAAATGATCCAGGTGATCGTGGAGACGTTCCAGGGAAAGCCCTTCCTCCAAATTTGCCAACAACTCGAAAGGCAAGCTAGTAAAATAGGATCAAGTGTATTTACAATGGTTATATAGATGAGCAGATGCCAAGTATGAGGCATTCTTCAGTGGCTCCCCACGCTTACCTTCTTTGGTCCCAGGAGAATGGCAGGCACTCCGATACCAGAGTACAATGTCAATCTTAAAAATGTTGTAGATGTACGTGACAGACACCGCTGCACCTACCAAGGCGAGAAGCCCTCCTATCAAGTAGGCTCGAACATCTGGAGCTACAAAGGACAGCAAATAAATATATAAATAATCAAATGATAATTATAGTACAAAGAGTCAATTACATACTTTACTTTTTACAGATCACGTTACAAACGCCAAATGGAAACATATTAGAGATCAATGAGGATACTGCTTACATTTTTTTTTCTGGCAGTTAAATATGATAGGTACATGGGAATAGAATAATCTGATGTGGCCCATGAATTTTAGGAAGCAAATGTGCCCTTGGGAACCTGGGGAGGGCAATTCTGCAGAACCCCAGCTCCCAGGGGTGGCTACGGCGTGACTCCGGTACATGAGGACTGCTCACCAAACACCCATGGCCAGGTCTCACTTAGCCAACACTGGACACTCTAGGGGTAAAACCTGAACACGCTTATTGGAAGGCCCTCCCCGGTGGCTCTGTGGCACAATCCTGATTATTCCACTGTCATAACTGCTCTCACGGGCACTCAGAATTGAGCAGCAGGACGCCCGTCATAAATAAAGAGCCATCAGCTGCCTTCCCTGAAAGCCAACTCTGTCTTCTCCATCAGACCAGCCATGAGCCAGGGTCCCCCCTCATTCTCTTTGTGCCAATAAGGTCTCAAAGTCCAGGCCAGACACCTGTCTGCAAGGCACAGCCTCAGAAAGGGTGTCTCCTCTGCTCTGCTTTGCAAACACTTTGTGGAGTGATTATGGCAAAAGCAATGGGTGGGAGATGACCAAGAAGCGGAACCGGTTCCTCTGGAATGTCAAGTCCCAGCAAACAGGCTCCTACGGGTCCCATGGAGGAACAACACAGCTTTCTCCCTTGCCACAGCCCAAACCGGTCAGGCCATGGAAGGAGGCTCTAGGAAGTTCTCTCAGAACTTGAAAAGAGGAAGAAGAACAGAGGAAGAGAAAGTCTCTCCATTCTTAGAACCCACTGCACACACCACTTCCTTCATCAGCCCCTTCCCAATGCTCTAGTCTCCACAAGAAGGTGTCTATGAATGGGGGTGTGGTGGGAGTGGGGGTGGAGAGAAGGGGAAATTCTCTTTTCTTTGAAACTCCCCAGAGCACATTCACTTTAAAAAAAAAAATACTCCTTGAAGAGTTTATCAGAACCTGCCCTAAGTCACATCATGTGGCAAATGGTTTGAGGTCAAAGATATCCCTATGCACTACTGCACATCTTTAAATGAATGGCATGATAAAACATAATAAGTAAAACACATTCTGGGTCAACAGAAATAGCAATCTGTTGATTAAGTCCCAGCACGACTCCGCAGATCTGCTCTGCTCTGCTCTGCGTGCGGGTGTCCAATCCCATCCTGACCACCTGTTTGAACCTCTAGCTTCTCACTGTTAGATGGATCTGCCCTTCCCTCCCATCCTCCACTTCCAGTTCTTGGAACCACAATGCCATCTGTCCCTTGGGGAGGATGTGGGTCTGGGAACCTGTAACATAGAGACTTCAGGGATCTTGGGACTGCAATGGTCACTATAAGAAGACAGTGTCATGCAATATTTATGAGACTCATAAAGCCCCTGGTAAGTAGACAGGAGTGATGGCTGGAAATTCTTGAGTTGGTCATTCATTGCCTTCCGGAGCATGCCCCCTGCCTCTGCAAATGAGCTTAAAACCATCAAATTCCAAACAAGAAACTCATGCCTGAATATCACCCTCCTGCCTCACCCCCAGTGTCTCCTTGTCATCATTTTGAACCCTCTGAACGGCATGTACCCCACCAAACCACTACCTGGGAGTTTTAAGATAAAGTATGCTGCTGACACTCCAGCATGACAGATGAAAGGATGGCCATAATCTTCCATTTTCACTTCCAAGAAGGTTATGTTCACTGTGTAAAAAACATGTTTCTGAAAAGGAATGTGGGATCTGTAAAAGAGAGAAGCCAATCAATTATATGTGAGTCACAGTTACCCAACACAGTGTATCATCTTCAGTCTTGAGAATAAAATTCTCTCTCCAGGGAACACTTGGGGCCATCCTGTTACCCTGAGAAGGCTTCACACACTAGCTCAGCGAGGTGCATGGATTGTGCCGTTCCAGATCTGCATTTTCTTCTGGACTGTGACAGACGGCATCCTCAGCCCTCCAGAGCTTTCTCCTGCTCCTCTCCACTCATCCTCACTACCTTGCGGGACTCAGCACAAATTCTTCCACCCTCTGGCCCCACTGGTCTTGCTTTATGCCACCCAATTCGTGCCACCACAGATTGGCTTTCTACCATGCCAGTAGACAATGATGAAATCCTGTCTCCCCGCAAAGCCCCCGGGCTGCTGCCTGCTTCACTACTGAAGTCTTGAAGATCTATGGCTCATGATAAAACCAAACAGGAGTGAGGCCGGTTTTGGGGAGTAGCTGTGAGTAATGGATTTTGGTGTGTGAAGGCCATGCTTGACGCTTTGCCTTCTCTAACTAGGATGTAGGAAAGATTGAGAACATGAGCACCTCACACTCTTCTGAACCAGGTGCTCGGCCCCCATAGCCCTGAGGAGATCTTAGAGAGACAAAGCCAAAAGGAGTGAGGAGGGGTCAGTGAGAAGCATCTTAAAAAAGCAGGACTAGCACCAATGTAATATAAGTGAAGGAATTCTTGCCAGCTGAAAGAAGCCTGAAAAAACCCAACACCTACTCAGATCCTTCTCTGATCCGTTTGGATTCATTGTAGTAATCATCCACTAAGGTGTTATTGACTCTCCAGCATCGGAGATTTGTGTTATCCCTTGTGTCTGTGATGTTGCAGTCCACAGTAAGGGCGGAGCCTATAAAAACAAATTCATAAATGTTATATGAAAAGCCTACAAAAAAAGCAATCGACTGAATAATATTCTGAATATCTTTTGATTATTAAAAATTCACCCTGGAGGTCAGTGCTCCTCTATTTTATTCTTTCCCTGGACACAGATCATAAGGGACAAATGACCTTCCAGGGTGTGTATCTGTAAAGAGATATCCACATGCTGCCAAATATCACCAGCTTCTGGCCGATGACCTCTACAATATCAGGAACACAAATCCTCCTACCAGTCTTAGGAAACTTAGCAAAGAACTTTACAAAGTATTTCACACACATCATCTCCTTCAGTCTTTTAATCTTCAAAACAGTCCTATAATCAGGAAAGAGGAGGTGCAGCAGTGTCCATGTTACAGATGAGAACACTGAAGTTCAGACAGATTGGTAACTTGCCCAAGGTCACACATTTGAGAAGGAAATGAGACATGAACCCTGGTTTTCTATTTCTAAATCCAGTGAAATTTCAACTTCACCAATTGTGACTCCTATCCTGACTCCATCACACACATTCACAAATTATATTTAATAATTTTATATTTTTATATTTATTTATTTTCTATTTTATTTTGCTCCATGAGCCCAATATATTCCATCTATTTACATTAAAAAAATACTGTATTTCTACACAGTATACTTCATGTTTCTTTATCCTAGGTGGAATTAAGGTGTTTTTTTTTAAATCGTAAACTATGACACATACGTACTAAAAAAAGGATAGAAGATAAATGTAAAAGACACATCCACACCACCTTCAGCCCAAGAAAATAGTATATTGCCAGAACTCCAGAAGCCTCTCACCAGTCCCTTGCCTGCTTTATACTTTATCGCTTACCCCACTCATACTTGAACTGTAGCTTCCATTGCCTCACATTTTGTTTGCGATGCTCACCCGTGCCGCTGCACGTACATGTGCTCCAGTCAGAGAAGAGAATAAATTAGCATTTATTTGGCTGCTGCTAGGCACACATCTGCATCGCTGTAGTGTTTGCCTCAACGAGTAAGATTGCTAGGAGCTCCCTCCTGCATGCCTCCTGAGGCTCTAGTGAACACCTTTCACGTTTACACCCCCGTGTACATGACGGGTACACACACCTATCTACCGGTAAAATTGGTAGATCATAGATGACACACGTACCTTCAACTTTAAAAGAGATGCCGAATTGCTTTCCAACGCGGTTGTCCCAATTTACACTTCCTCCAGCAGTATGGGTGAGTGCTGGTTACTTTACACACTCAACAGTGTGTAGTGTGGTCAGTCTATTTTTGTCATCTCGATGTGTGTGTGGAGACATCACAAAGTGAATTGAATTTGCATTTCCCTAGATTGCACCTAGTCGAGCACTTTTTTTATACTTTCCCTGGTCATGTTGATACCCTCTGATGTAAACTGTCACAGCGAGAAGTTGTTTTTTTTTTCTAGAAATGCATTGTTTGGACTTCCATATTTAGATCTATAACTCACTTGAAATAATTTTTATAAGTAGTGTGAGAAGGGAGTCAATTTTTCTTTAATTTTGTATTCCCTCCCTTTGTCAAGTTCCATTTATTGAAAAGATCACACCTTGCCTGGAGCAGCATTAGCTTTGCCAAAATCAAGTGCGTTATATGGTGGATCTATTTCTGGGCCTTCAATTCTAACCAATATCTATCCTTGTGTCAAAACTACACTGTCTAAACTATGGTAGCCTTTTAATAAATCTTGAAAGCTGGTGGTACAGATACCCTCAGCTAGTTCTTTGTCATTAAAAATGTCTTGACTGTTATTCAGTCTTTACCTTTCCATACCAACATTATAATCGACTTATCAAATTCAGCAAAAAATAAAATCTGTTGAGATTTTGGCTCTCCTTCAAAACAAAGGAAATATGTTTAATAGTTCAGGGTTGAGTATGTTGTTTCTTCTACAGGCTTCTAAAGATAAATTTTTAAAAATCTGATGAAAGACATTCTCTTACATTCCTAGTTTTAAAAGTTCTTTTTTTTTTTTTTAATAATAAATTCCTTGTTCAGGTGTTTGAAATGACTTTTTGGTATCTACAAGTGTATTATTTTTTCTCCATTAGTTTATTAATGTAAAATAAAAGGATGACTCAACTAATGTGAAGCAATTTGGCATTGCTTCAGGTAAGCCCAACTTAACTGCAATGTATCACCCTTTGGGTTTGCTGTCAAATAAATATGCTAATAATGTGCTTAAATTTTTTCATCCATGTTGATGAATGAGATTGGCCAGAAACTTCCTTTGTAAAAACATTTTTGTTGGTTTGAGTGTCAAGATTTTCCTGACCTAATAAAATGAGTTAACGATGACTGTTTCTTCTTTTTCTATGCTGTGAAACAATTTGTTTAAATATGTCAAATTTCTTTATTAAACGCTTTGCAGAATTCACCAGGAAAGCCAAGTGGATCTAGAATTGTTTGTGACAAGATTTTACATTTACAGTCATATGCCTATTCTGGAATCTGTATGTTCCTGTGCCAGATCCTATGTGCTGGTTTTTAGGGAAAATAGCCCACTTCTTTTTAGATTTTCAAATTGTTTGGCTCTAGGTTTTCCAGAACATTCTTTTATGATCTTTCTCAACTATATATGATCAATGGTGATGGCCTCTTTTTCCTTCAGATTGTGCCTTCCTCCCTTTCTTAATCATTCAGGGGGTTGGCAAATACATTCCACTTTTCAAAAAACCAACATCTTTCTCTGTTCATCACTCAATTGCATGTTCATTTCCTATCTCACTATTTTCTGCTATTACTCCTCACTTTGTTTCTTCCATTTCTGTTGGATTTATGTGCTTCTCCTTTTCTGTCTTCAGGGGTGAGCATGCAGCTCATGGATATTTCAACTAACTTACTTTTCTAATTGAGACTATCAATCATGCTCTGAGCAAATCTTTGTATCCCACCAACCTTGGTGTAATCCTTTCATGAGTATTCATTCTCAAATTATTTTCTGATTTCTATTTTTATCCATGGGCTAGAGGGTTTTTTATATGATTGCTCTACAACCTATACAGTTATTCTAATTGTCTTTTTATTACATATTTCCAAAGTCAGTGTCTTATGTCTGAGAATATATAGTTTACATGATTTCAATCTGTTGGATTTTTACAAATCAATCTTTACAGCCAATACATGGTCAATTTTATTAAACATTTCTCCTTTCTTTTTCTTTTTTCTTTTTAAAGATTTTATTTATTTGAGACAGAGAGAGAGCACAAGCTCGAGGCTCCATCCCAAGACCCTGGGATCATGACCTGAGCTGAAGGCAGATGCTTAACTGACTGAGCCACCTAGATGCTCCTTATTAAACATTTCATTGTACTTAGAAAAAATGTGTAATCTATAGTCATTGGCCTCAGGGCTCTAGAATATGAACATTAGGCCATTTGTTGGGCACATTTTGTTTGTCATGATAGGGTGTCTTGTTTGCTTTGTTCTACCAGCTATCTTACAAACTGCCATTATTATTATTCCATTATTGGTGTGGACTTAATTTCTCCCTGTAATCCTGACCTAACTCTCTCTCTGCATGTGTACACACACACACGAAACACACACACACACTTTTAAGGCAAAGTTATTATATGTCTACAGGTTCATAATTGACTTCTAATCATTATGAAGCATCTCTGTTTACCTCTAATAATGCATTCTACCTTCAGATCTACTTTGATATTAGCATAATTATGCCAAAGTTATTTTGGTTAGTGTTTATACCTTATATCATTTTCTAATTTTTTCTCTTCCAGCATCTATAAACAGCCCAGAGTTATGATTTCTTCTTTCAAATCCAGTATGACAATCTTCATTCGGAGCATTTGGTCCATCGTGTAATTGATAACAAATGTACATTTAAATCAACTATCTTAAATATTTTTTTATTTGTAGCATCTGTCCTGTATCAGTCTTTTTTTTCCTGCTGTCTTTTGATTCCTTCTTATCTTCCTCTTGATTATTTTTCATTGTTCCATATAACGCTGTATATTTCAAATTATTACTATTTTAGGGTTACTGTAAATATTAAAACATAGATCCTTGAACTTATCAAAGTCTAATATTATTGATATTTATATTCTTTTCTCTAAGAGAATCTAAAGTCTTTGGATGCAATAGCAATTAACTTTCTTCCAGCATACAGGCAAATGTGGTTGTGAATTCCAATTTCAAATATATTTTAAATTCCATAAACAGTCGTCATCATTATTGCCTTATGCATCCAAGATTCATTTGGATTTTTTCATATTTACGCCAACATTTGCTCCTTCCTTCCTTCCTACGCAGCTGATTCACAATCTGGAATCATTTCCTCTTGCTTAAAGAACACTGGAGTAGCTCCTTTAGTGTAAGACTGTGGTTGGCAAATTTTGCCACTTTTACTTTGTCATATGTTCACTCACTATAAAATTAGCAGTATTTTTTTTTTCAGCTGACAACCTCCATTATTTCATGAAAAATTCCAACAGTGGGCGTATTGTTGTGCACAAAGGGCTTTTTTCCCTCTTTTTTCCCCCAACTCTTAAGATATTTTTCCTTTGTTTTTGTTTGCAGTTTCACTATGGTATTTCAAGGTGTAGCTCTGGTCTTATTTGTCCTGTTGAGTCTCCTTAGCTTCCGGGGCCTTTACATGAACATGTCTACATTTTGGAACATTCTGAGATTATCACCTAAATAATATTGCTTCTCCTCCCATTTTCTCTCTCTTTCTTCTGAGATCACAATTATATTCATGTTAGCTCTGTGTAACCTCTCTCTCTAACTTCTGGTCTCTTGGCTGTCTGTGCTTAAGCCATTTTCTCTTGACCTATATTCTCACTCGGTAATTCTTTTTCAGATGTCTCATATGCTACTAAAGCTTTCACTGAGTTTTGGTTTTAGTTACCTGTTCCTTTTCAAACTTAATATTCTCTTTTTTTAAAGTTTACAGTTGTCTTTTGAAAATTGCAACCATATGTTTTCTCTTTTTTTAATATTTTATTTATTTACTCATGAGAGACATACAGAGAGAGGCAGGGACATAGGCAGAGGGAGAAGCAGGCTCTCTGTGGGTAGCCTGACGAGGGACTCAATCCCAGAACCCCAGGATCATGATCTGAGCCAAAGGTAGATGCTCAACCACTGAGCCACCCAGGTGCCCCAATCATCTCTTTTCCTTCCTTGAACATAATAAGCACAATATCTATCTATCTATCTATCTATCTATCTATCTATCTATCTATCATCTATCTATCTGTCATCTATCATCTATCTATCTATCTATCTATCTATCTATCTATCTATCTATCTATCTATACCTGGGGCCCTGGGGATCTGTTTCTGTTGTATATGGCTTACCATCTAGAATTTACCACCTAGAATTTACATCACAAAAGTTATACATATTTGTGAAGGTTCTGAATACATACTGGCATTTCCTTCTCCATAGTTTATACCAGTCCATTCATTTATTTATCTATCTCACAACTATTTCTTGAGCATCTGCTATGTTCTAGAAATTTTTCTGAGAACTGGTGATATAGGAAGGAACAAACCAGAGAAAAAGCCAGCTTTTAAGGAACACTGATTTAAATAGAATTAGAGATACCAAAACAAAATAGGTGAAGTAGTGAAAAGTACTTCACAAAAAATAGAGAAAGGTCAGGGGATAGAGCATAACGGTGAGTGATGTGTGCTATTTTTTTTAAAGGATTTTATCTATTTATTTGAGAGAGAACAAGAAAGAGAGCATGCGCAGGGGGAGGCACAGAAGGAGAAACAGGCTCCTCACTCAGCTCAGCATGGGGCTCAATGTGAGGCTCAATATCAGGACCCCGAGATCATGAACTGAGCCGAAGACAGACTCTTAACCGACTGAGCACCCCAGGCACCCCAGAGGTGTGCTATTTTAATGTGGTGGTCAAGTGAGATGCCATTCATCAATGATCTGATGGAAGTGAAGGAAGAGACCACGGAGCTGTGTGAGGAAGAGCATTTCAAGTAGAGGGAACAGCAAGTGCAAAGTCTCTGAGGTAGAACTGTGCTTGAGATGGTCAAGGAACAGCAGGTATGCCAGGGCAACCAAGTGTGAGCTTACCAATGTGGGCACTGGCAAGGGGAAGTCAGCCATGGAGGGCCATGTTGGGAATGCAAGGATTTTGAATTTTACTCTGAGTGAGACAGAAAATCTTTGGAAAGCTTTAAACACAAATGGTTTAAAGGGATTGCTCATATTCATGGCCAGTAATGTATTAGAATACCCTCTATATTATCCTTGGTAATATTTGGTATTATACATTTTTTAATCCTTACCAATTTCACAGATATCATTGTTTTAGTGCATGTTTCTTTTATTGCAGATGACTATATTCTCATATTTTGTTAGTCTTATTTTTTTTGGTCCTGTGAATTACTCATTTATCTCATCTGGCTTATTCCTATTCCTTGATTTGTTGGTATTTTTGTACAGAAATGATATTACCTGTTTTTTGATGTCTCTGTTCCAAATATGCTCTCCTAGTTTTTCATTCACATTTTAACTTTACCATTTTTCCTATATACAGACATTTACAGTTTTTATGTTAGTCTAATTTTTAATCTTCTGTGATTTCTTCTATTAATTTTATGTGTAGAAAGAACACCACTCAGAGGTTAGCTATAGATTTTTCTTAGTTTTTAACGGTACTTTTGTGGGCTTATTTTTATACATAGTTCTTTAATTCATCAAAAATGCATTTTTATGCCTCATATACTTCACATTTAACAAGTTATAATAGTATCACACATAAACTATACTGTTCTCTACACATTTTTAATTTTTATTTTATTTATTTATGATAGGCACACAGTGAGAGAGAGAGAGAGGCAGAGACAGAGGCAGAGGGAGAAGCAGGCTCCATGCACCGGGAGCCTGATGTGGGATCCGATCCCGGGTCTCCAGGATCGCGCCCTGGGCCAAAGGCAGGCGCTAAACCGCTGCGCCACCCAGGGATCCCTCTCTACACATTTTTAAACCACAAATCTCCTTTATGAGATTTTTGTATATTCTAGGATCTACTTATTGTTTTCCATTATGTTGTCTTAATCTTTCTATTTGTATGCAAATACCAGTATTTATTTATTGTTGTTTTATAATTAAATACACTTTAATATTTACTAGAAAAAGTCTTTATTTCTTCTATGCAATTATTTTCTTGCTAAAATTTTCCAACCTTTTTTACATGAATTTTAAAAATGTTTTATCAAGTTTCAGTACATTCAATGAAATTCAACTGGTTCTATATTAAACATGTATATTAATCTGCCCTTAGTGATTTCAATGACTCCAATAATTTTACTTACCAAGTTGTACTTCAATTGAATTGTTTTTCGGATAAATGATTTTAGGAATTCTTCCTGCATATCCATTTGTTTCTGCTAAGAAATCATATCCACGTGAAATTGCATTAGAATCATGTATGACACATTCCCAACTATTTATACCACAATGGTGTAAAGAAAAACATGACACTGAGCAGGCCTTCAATAAACATTAGTCAAGTAAAGAACAAAACTTATGGTGTGATGAATGACCATCTCATAAATGCATACTTTCAAACCAGAAATAATTAAATTGTTAAGGAAAAACCCTAAAAGCTGGGCTACTGGGAGAGTTCACTTCTTGGTTCTATATATAAACTGCTAAGATTGTGTAATAAAATCTCACTACCTAATAATCTAACTATAGTTTGTAAGCAGTGGCCCTAGGCCAAGCTCTGGTCTAGGTCCTAGACAGAGAGAGAGAATGACCCTAATGTTTTATCTTTGCTCCTCACTGTTCCATCCTCCATCCCTTGCTTCTCCATATTCTTTATATCCTGTCCTCTTGTGTTCTTCAGATCCTTCATTCCTCCACTCCACTGTAGAGCTATCTCCTCTCATGTTGACTTTCCAGCCTTTTGTTTTTCTCCACTACTTCCTTTCCCCATTTGCCCACCAACATCTAACAATCAACCACCTCACCCCACATTCTCCCTCTCTACTTGGGATGGGACACAGACATGTTATCAAATGGAAGGCTAGAAAAATGAAAAACCCTGTGTCTTTTATAATGAGAATACTACTTGCATGTCCTACAAACTATTCAAATTCAGTGTGTCCCAAACAGAGGTTATCACCAGCCAGTTAATGTATCACTTTGCACCAGATCACACACAACTAAAATCTGGAAGTCACTCTAGGCAACAGTTCTTCTCTCACCTCTTCAAACCATCAATCAGTAAGTCAGACAAAGTTCATCTCCTAACATGTCTCCATGAGTGCCTCCTTCTTCATGGCTAAACTTTCTATTTTCCACTTTCTAGTCCTTCCTTGGTAGTCTTGTTCATATCCACCTCTTCCATTACCATCTAGGCCAAGTTGCATCTCCAGACCTTTCTCTAGACCATGGCCATGGTCAACTTGACATCTCCATGTGGGCACCTCCAAGTACTCAACATAAACCCATGACCAAACTCATGATCTCACTCTTAAATCCAGTTTCTCTCTAGAGTTATATTATTTCATTGAATTATATCACCATCCAGTCTGTTGCATATGCCAAAAGGCTTAGCTCCCTTGACCTTGCCACATCCCTTCTGCCATATTCAATCCAATACTAACCCCTGTGAGGTTGACCTCCTCAGATACCTTGAACCCATCCACATGTCTCCATCTTCAGTGCCACCATGTAGCCTGTGCCTACCTGATATCTTACCTGCATTTCTGTACCTGTCTCCTACCTGCCACTCCTGTTCTGTAGGGATCATTCTGGGTACAGGCAGCCATGCTGAGCTTTCAGGCCTGCAAGTCACATGCTACTCTCCTGCTAGCAACCCCTCTGGCTACTTACCATTGTTCTTAGAATAAACTCCATACTCTCTGCTTTGGATTCCATGTTCCTACCAATTCTTGGCCCTGGATACTTCGCTAACCTCATTATCTAACATTGCTCCAACCAACCTGCCTCCTTCCCATTATTCACATATACCATGATCTGTTTTTGTCACAGGGCCTTTACTTTGGTTGTTCCCTCAGTCTGGAAAAATCTCACCCACTCCATCACTCAGGTAATGTGTCCTGACCGTCAGTGTCGCTGTTATCAAGAAGATTTCCCTGACCCTCTGCCTTCTCAATAGGTCCTTGTCTGCTCGATCTCACACTTTCCACTCCTTCATTGCATTAATCTCCTTGGTAATTACACATCTCATGAGCAGACTATCTGATTTATCTCTGCCTCCCTTCCCTACTCAGACTTCAAAGCTCCATCAGAGCAGCAGTCATGGCTGCTTTCCTTCTTCTCAGGCTGTCTCTACTAGGCACAAGATGGTGGCCAGTAAAGAGCCACCAAATTCCTGCCTGAAGAATCCCCTGCTACTTTCACTGGTTCAGATTATCAGCACTCTTCTCAATACTGGCTGTTGCAGCAGGTGCCAAAGTGGACTACAGGTTTCAGGACCCTCCTCAACTCCTGCTCAACCATCTCAAGACTGGTCTCATCCATCACAAAAAAAGCCTCGTCAATCTTCATCCAAGGGCTCTTCAGCGGCCACATGGCAAAGCCTCAGTGTAACTGGGCCTCTAAATCCTGACCCTGTTTAACACCTCAAGTCCCAGCACTCTTTTCCCCATGCTTACGTATGCTCTAATAAAATTAGCCTTGAATCCAATGCAAACTATGCTGGTAGACACTTCTATGTTTTGTCTTATACTATACTCTCTGTCCTGCCTCTCACACTTTACTTTTATAAACTTGACTCCTTCAAAATTCAGCTGAAAAGACATCTCCTGGAAGCCTTCTAAGACCATTTCCTTGCCACCCTTGTGGCTATTCCTGATTCTTTTCCTGTTCCCCCAGACACTATCTACAACTCTATCTATAACTCTATCCTTACTACATAATGTGAAATGATGATTCATTTATATCTTTAGCTCCACTATCACCAAGCTGAGAGCTTCTCAAAAGAAGAAACATTGGTTTTGGTTTTGGTTTGGTTTAGTTTAGTTTAATTAACAGGTTCTAACAATTGGGGCATGAACTAGGTCATAAATATGTGTTTACAGTAATAACATGAAATATATAGACTATTTGAAATTCAATGACCTCTTGATGTAGTCTTCATTCTGTCTTTCAAAGAATTCCTTCAGCTACCAATGTAAAACTAAGCATGATAGTCAAGAAGAAAATCTTTTGTGCATATATTTGGAGAGATAACAGGTAACACAAAACTCAAGAGCATAGAAGTCATAAAATGTAATACAATTAATTTTTTTAATTAAAGGGTTCCAGGTGGGAAGTAGGAAGCCACTCATGCTGAACACATGCCCCAAGAGAGCCACACCACCAAGAAATTGCTAGGTACCACCCAGTATTATGAAGTCTGACAGAAATTAGTGACAGGATGATCCCAGTTAAAGAAATACTCAGTCTTCAGTTCTTTCCATTTAGATGAGTCAACAGAAAAGACAGCTGTCTACTAACAAAGAGCAAAAGGCAACATAGCAAGAACTCCTCACCGAATGTGTTGAGAAGAAACAGTGCTCATCTGGGCACCAAAAGCCTCCATCCTTGCCCTGTTTCTTCACTGACCAGCTTTGTAATCTTCATAAGTCACCACCTCCTGAGACTCTATAAAATTCATGGCTTAATTGGGCACCTGGGTGGCTCAGTGGTTGAACGTCTACCTTCAGCTCAGGGTGTGATCCCAGGGTCCTGGGATCAAGTCCGGCATCAGGCTCCCTGCAGGGAACCTGCCTCTCCCTCTGTCTATGTCTCTGCCTTTCTCTGTTTCTCTCATGAATAAATAATTAAATAAAATCTTTTTAAAAAAATAACGGCTTAAGTTAAATTATCTTTAGGGTTTCTTTTACCCTAAAGATTCTGTTTTTAAATCTCCAGGTCGTATGTTCGAGCAAACTGGCTGCTCTGGGTTGAGAACGGACACTTCATGAGCATCAGGTATCCTGGAGCTCTGCATACCCCAGGCAGGGGAGGCCAAAGCTGGAATGACCCAGCAAAGTGGTCATACCAGTGACAGCTGAGGAAAATAAGAGGAACAGTAATATCTACCACCTCCTGAACACCTACACTTTGCCAGGCACCCCAGTACCCACTTTACATACATGCTGTCATTTAATTTTCATACCAAGAAGGTTGAGTGTTCTGTTTTTCCAGATAAGGAGACTAAACTGCTCATGCCCTCTGCCCTCTTCTTTCTACCCTCTGATTCTAACATGGTAAGTTTGAGAGCCCACTAACCTTCAAGAAAATCAAGATTTAGAATTACCATTGCCCGAGAAGCCAGCCATCTCACACAAAACCAAGAAGAAGCCAAGGCAATGGATATGAGCATACTTACTGATACGCACAGTGATGCTGTTTAAAACAGTGTAGTGTTTCCCTGTGTGTGTCAGTCGGGCTTGGCATGCATAGTTCCCTCCATCCTCTGCTGAAACATTGCTCACCGAAAGCTTTATTCCCCAGCGAATAAACCGTCCTTCTTTAATCTCTTTACAGTCCTAAATATAAATGTATATATACATGTATATTTTAATTCAAAGAGTATTTTGTGTATCAGTTACATTTCTAGTTAGCACCATCCTATGAACTTCAGGGAGGTGCAAGAAACATATGTGATCCCTAGGTCTCGGGTAATTTATAATCTAACTGAAGACAATATCTGTATCTAGATAGATAGATAGATAGATAGATAGATAGATAGATAGATAGATAGAAGATAGATAAATAGATATCTGCAGATTCAACAAAGGATATGCTACAGGCTACAGTGAGTGCTGTAAATATTAAGTCTAATGGAAGTTGGTAGGATAGAGGCATAGGTGAGCTAGAAGGGAGACCGCATGGAGGAGGACTACATGGGGCCCACAGAGGGGTGCGGTAGGAGGGTGTGAACAGGCAGTAATGCCCTCCACCCACAGAGGCCCATATCTCCCAGTGGACCACCATCTCATGGCGCCAAGCCCCCATGCCAAGATCGCAAGCCCACTTGATTATTGACTGCTTCCACTGCTTTCCAGGCCCAAATACACCTTCTTCACCTATTGGGTTGGACTTTACAGAGGTCCGAAATAACTCTTCAAGAACATTCTGCTTAAAGGCTTGAACAATAATAGTCAAAGTATGTCAGCTAGGCTTATGAGCAGATGTCATGTAACTTGTTACATCACCTGTGCTTCCACCCCAATAACAAGAACACCAAATCAACTTGAGGCCTGATTAGTCTCAGGAATGCCTTTCTCATTTGTCATTCTCAGCAACCACCCACAGGGCAGGCCTCAACATCCATCTGTCCTGTCAGAACTCACATTCTCATGCTAATCACCACTTCTTGCATCTCACAGACCCACTCTGAACTCTCCCAAAACTTTTCTCCTGTCCTCAGAAAGTGCCACTCTACTCAGTGAGTTCTTGGGTTATAAGTCCATTTTATTCGTTCAAGCATTCAGGTTCCTGCTCTTTGCTAGGCTGTGAGAGGCCCTGTCATGCAGGAATAAGATGTGGTCTATGTCCTTAGAAGCTCACAATCATAATATAGAGACAAACTTATAATCCCTAATAAAAATTTAATTGTCCAAGTGTCCAGCTCTCTCGTCACTGAGTCAGCTATAGCTAGCTCAGCATCAGAGCCCATTCTTCAACTTGGAATGGTGTGAATGGATCCATCTTGGAAGAGGAAACTCATTCATGCCAGAATGAGCATTTATTTACAACGTGAAATTCTAGGAGTCTTACATTATTCCCTATTTGGGAAACCCAATTATAATTAGACAATTGCTTACCAAATAGAATGGGAATTACTAGTAAGAATCAGATGGGTCAAGGCATCTGATTCCAATACTGTGATGCCACCTTCTTTAGAGACAAACAAAAAGCATGGAGTCCTTTGACTATGAAAACTTCTTAAACTTCTTCTCTAGAGTGAGAGCCCATATAATAGCAATCTCTGAGCCCCCCTTTCTATGTTTCTATCATTGATCAGTCCCTTTCTAATCAACTCCTTCTTTCTCTCAAAATGTACAAATACTTCATCATATTAAAACACAGCCTTGATAGCTTAAGAGCCATTCTCTTCCTTCATGGTAACACAGCACTGCTTGAACTGTAATCCACCATGCATCACTTCAGAATTTAAATTCTCAGAAGGCCTCAATGTTTCTTTAAAAATTTGTGGGCAACATCCTATTAATAAGATTTGAAGTTAAAATATGAATAATAATAGCAGCAAACATTTAAATGCATTTTGTCTTTCAAGCACCAAGAAGGACCACCTTTAACCCAATCTGTACAATGATTGGAAACATAAAGTGGCCCCAGAGCATTCTGGCTGACATGCAGTGCCTACAGAACTGGTTAGGCAACCAGCAGCTCAATAACAGAAAACCATGAAGAAGGGGATGAACGTTGAAGGTTTCCCAGCAAGGGAATAACATGATTATATTTGTCTTTGAGAATGATCTCAGCAAACACAGAATTAGCACAGTGGTGGAGCAGAAATCATTGTATTGAGAGGTAATTTGGAATAAAAAAAAAAATACTGTTCCAAATGTGAACACTTCACTACCTCTGAGAATGGATATTTTAATACCTGAACCTTTCCCTCTATAACATCTCAATTTCAAGGACCACCTCTACTCCTCTCGGTCTTCAACTCTCCCAGCTACAAGCTGGACTTTTTCATTATCCAGAACCACTATGTCTCTGAATTCCTAAAAAGAAATATACCATTCTGATGATAATTTTTTATTATTCCATCTCTTCCATGCCCTCATTATAACCAAAGAATAATATCTGATATTTATTTATCAAGTAATCACTATGTGCCCACGCTGAACTAAGTGCCTAATGGATAAGTTATTTCACTAACTCTCCAAAACAAACCTAGAAGGTCATTTCCCTCAGACTGAATTTAGTTGCAGAAAACAAAAAACATTCTAGCTGTTTCAGGTGGGAAAGGGATTTAAAGCAGCATGTTAGGGGCTTACAAAATTTTCAGAGGTATTCAGGGAGTGAGATCTAAGCCAGAATTTCACTGCAGACCTAAGCTCACAGGACACCTGCTGCCTCCACCACAACTGTGAGGTGGAAATCAAGACTTGAAACACAACACACTGCAAGTCAGGGACCAGGGGTCGCCACTATGCAACTATAGTGTGCAAAGTCATGCCACTTCTAGAGGAGCCACACCAATAAACCCATCAGAAGCCATATGCACTACCTCTCCACTCCCACAGAGCCAGACTCTGGGCCCTGGGACATGGCCACAGAAAATCCCCACGTGCGTGCTCTGGGGCAAAAAAAAGCAGGAAGATCTACCCTACTCACGCAAGCCCTTTAGGGAAGCCAGCTGAAGAAACTGACTCACATCCACAGCCTGAGCTGTAGGGAACTCTGGGAAAGCACACGTGGTGTTTGAGTTGCTTTGTTCTTCCTTTGTTCTATTATTTATAGCTGCCCTGATTTAAAGAGGCTCACCATGGATAGTGAGCAGCTAGCCACCATATTCATTATGGACTTTTCTACCTGAACTTTCTATCAGACTCATTTTTCTGTCACCTTGAACCAGTCCCCTTAATCCCTGTCTTTTGTTTTTTGTTTTTTTTTTATAAATTAATTTTTATTGGTGTTCAATTTACCAACATACAGAATAACACCCAGTGCTCATCCCGTCAAGTGTCCCCCTCCGTGTCCGTCACCCATTCACCCCCACCCCCCGCCCTCCTCCCCTTCCACCACCCCTAGTTCATTTCCCAGAGTTAGAAGTCTTTATGTTCTGTGTCCCTTTCTGATATCTCCCACACATTTCTTCTCCCTTCCCTTATATTCCCCTTCACTATTATTCATATTCCCCAAATGAATGAGAACATACACTGTTTGTCCTTCTCTGATTGCCTGTCTTTTGTTTGAATTACCACTTTCCCTCAAGCCTTCCTTTCTTTCCCATCATGTGGCCATTACTTTGCTCCCCCCTTTCAGTTCCTCAATACGGTCACCCTTGATTCTTCCAGTATATTAAGGCTACAAAACCCCATCTGTGTCAGTTCCATCACCCCCGCCTCCATGCCTACAGCCCGATGAGCAGTACAGGAGACAATCCCATCAACATTCACCTTGGCATCTCAACAAGTTCATGATCTTCACCCTAGAAATTCTTTGCTTTTGACTCTCTCATTCACTTATTTACCTACGCTGCTTTTTCTAAATTTCCCCCTAACATCCCCTTCCAACTGGTGGAGAAAAGAGGGTCCACCAGGAATGAGTTCCCTCTACATACTCTCCCCTCCTTTCCCCTCACTCCATCACTTCTACATCATATACTCTCCTACATTGAGGCCATGTAGTCACTAAATTTCTGAAATAGCCTTAATGATCCGCATGCCACCATTTGTAAACCTTTCCAATGTATTCATAGCAGTGACGACCTGAGGACCTTAGCCTACAAGATCTACTTCCTAACATCACCATACTCCACTCTGACATGGAACCCAAACTCTAACCAATGCCCCCAAACACCATTCTCTCTCACCTGATACCTTTGCAACTGTTGTTTTTTTTTTTTTTCTAATTGCCACCCTTCCCTCTGCTCCCCACTGGCTTCATTACTATCCAGTCTTTAAGTGCACAACAGTCACCTCCTCCAGAAAGCATTTCCTGGCACAGATCCAGGCAGATAATAGGCTCTAAATACTTTCATTTGACAGAATAAAACACTGCAGCCCAAATAGCAACTCAACATCTGACAACTAGATCGTAACAAAAACAGAGCCCTAACTGATGTCACTGAATCTGGATAGGTTGGACAATTTCAGAATCTCTCCTCTTTATATTGCTTGGCTCCTAGCCTCTTGTCTTCTCAAGCTGAGCAGTTATTTTATTTTTTTTAAGATTAATTTATTTATTTGAGGTAGGGTGAGAAGGAGGGAGGAAGAAGAGGGAGAAAATCTCAAGCAGAGTCCTCCCTGAGTATAGAGCCTAAGATGGCCTGATCTTATGACCCTGAGATCGTGACCTGATGCTCAATCAACTGAGCTACCCAGGGCCCCTGAGCAGTTATTTTAAAAATAAAAATGCCGGGCAGCACTGGTGGCAGCGGTTTGGAGCCGCCTGCCGCCCAGGGCATGATCCTGGAGACCCTGGATTGAGTCCCACGTCGGGCTCTCTGTATGATGCCTGCTTCTCCCTCTGCCTGTGTCTCTGCCTCTCTCTCTCTGTGTGTCTATGAATAAATAAATAAAATCTTTTTTAAAAAAAAGATTTAAAAATAAAAATGCCTGAACTTCATCCGTGGATAATCTGATTCAGTGAGTAGAAGATTAGTCCAAGCAAGTGCTTTTAAAAAAGGCAAAAAAAAAAAAAAAAAAAAAAAAAAAAAAATCCATTCCTCTTAACACTGAGGTAGTAACAAAGTTGGTTCTAAAAATCTACCTCTCAGGGCACCTGGGTGGCTCACTGGTTGAGCATCTGCCTTTGGCACAGGTCATGATCCCGTGATCCCAGGATTGAGTTTCTCATCAAGCTCCCTGCAGAAACCTGATGAAGTTTGCTTCTTCTGCTGCCTATGTCTCTGCCTCTCTCTGTGTGTCTCTCATGAATAAATAAATGAAATCCTTTTTAAAAAATTTACTTCTCTACAAATGTCAAATGCTTTCAGATCTATGACCACAACAGGTCCAGGCCAGGAGGAAAAAATTCCAGAAGAGTCCTACTATCAAGAGGGTCCATTGCCAGGAGGTAAGGATGGCAAGGCTGCAAGGTGGGAGACAGGATGCTTGAGGAAGAGTCTATAGAAGCCACAGAGAAGAACTAAGACTCACCATAATCAGAGAAAGCCAAAGCAGGACTTGGAAAAAGGGTAATGTCACAGTCAGAGCCAATTGAGGCTGAGGGGACTGTGGCCTGGCAGTCAATACCCTCTGAACAAAACAAGAATACTTTGAGGAAAAATTCTTTTTTCAAGTAGACTCCATGCCCAACATGTGGCTTGAGCTCACAACCCTGAGATCAAGAGTCATATTCCACCAACTGAGCCAACCAGACGCCACATTGAACAGGATTATTGTTAATAATTAAATTGTGGTCAGAGCCAAGGCTAATAGGAGGGTAATGAGAGAGAGTATGCAGAGTGTTTACGATATATCTTGACACACATTAAAGGAATACCTGTGTAATTTTTCCACTGGCCCAATAGTTGATACACAAGGAAGTGTTGGGGGAAAAAGGTTATATTGACTCCTACAAATATAATTGTAAAGTGAATTTTTGCTCAAGTAAAAAGTGAAAAATATTGGAGGTAGAAAGAACTCAGAAGCCATCCACCTATTCACTAGAAACTTACTGAACTAAAGCTAATACCTAAGGGCCAGGTATTATTAGCCTTGCAAGTGGAGAAGGCACAGGTGGTAACTACAAAGTCTATGAAGATGAACTTTTCATTAATGGAACAGTAGGTATTTAGAACTAACTCTCCCCAGTGATTCTGAAGGTGATGGCAGACAGACTGATAAGACAAGGCTTTTGACAGATCTATGTGTGTCAGGGACAAAAGCTAGAGCCAGGGCTCCACAATGAGGAACATCCTCACCAAACTCTCAAGTGGTCAACTGGGATGTGAAAGGGCCACGTGGTTTGGTCAAACCACTAAAAGAATGGCCCTAAAAAAATGATCAAACCAATTCTAACTTCAAATGATGATTTTCACAAATTTACTACTGAGACAAGCAAGCCAGACACAAAATGCTACAAACAACAGGATTCAATTTCAATAAAATTCATAAGCTAGCAAAATTAATCTGTGCTATAGTAAGTCAGGGGGGTTGGGAGGCATTGTTTTTGGAAGATGGCAGAAGCGAGCCTTCTGGTGGTATTTTACTTCTTGACCTTGATCTTTGGAAGGCGTAGCCATAAGGTATGTTCACCTTCTGATTAACTGTCAAGCTGGGCCTTTTTTGTTTTATGCATTTTCTATGTATATGCTATACTGCAATGAAAATGTTCATGCATTCCAAATATTGGTGCCCAGGATACACAAATATATAAAATCTCCTGTGAGTCGGTGATGAAATGGTAAGAAAAGTGAAAAAAAAAAAATAAGTAGGGCAGAAAATAAGAGTCAGAAGTTCAGAGGATGATTCAAAAATGGTCAGTAAACATAAAAAAGTTGATCAATCTCACTAATAATTAATGGAATTAATTAAGAAATTCAGAAAAATTAAGAAATTTTTTAAGGAAAAGCAATTTAAAACAACAATAAGGTAACAATTGTACCCATCAAACTGATTTTTAAAAATACAAATCTTATAATGCAAAGTTCTACATAAGGTGTTAGGGAGCCCAGAATATTGCAGGAAGAGTATAAGCTGATATAAAATATTGTCGAGTAACTTGGTAGCATCAATAAAATTGAATACTTCATTCATATACATACCCTACAGTCTAACAGTCAGAAGGCTAAGCAATATGTACCCTAAAAAACTCTTACATTGGCAGATGTGCATTAAAAGACAGGAATAAAGGGTGCCTGGGTGGCTCAGTTGACTAAGGGACCAACTCTTGATTTCAGCTCAGGTCATGATCTCAGGATCCTGGGATTGAGCCCACCATCGGGCTCCCTGCTCAGCATGGAGTCTGTTTGAGGATTCCTTCTCTCCCCCTCTGCCACCCCTCCCTGCGCTCTCTCTCTCTCTGTCTCTCTCTCTCTCTCTCTCAAATAAATAAATAAATAAATCTTAAAAAATTTTAAAAGACAGGGATAAGGATACTCATTGCCATGGTTCTGTGAGACAGGAAAGTGGAAACAAAGTAAATGAACATGAAGCATACAATAGGATGCATAAGGCCAAAATTTGATTCTTTGAAAATAAATAATAGAACTGACAACTCTCTTATGAGACTAATCAAGTGAAGAGAAAGAAATATATTGTAATAGGGATTAAAAGAAGAATCTTACCTGCAGAAACAGACATGAAAAGAGCAATGATAATAAAAGTTGTGTGCCGGAGTATCTGAAATCTTTAATGAAATGAACGATTTCCTACCAAAAAAGGGAATGTTACCAAAACTCCTTCTGGAAGAAATAAATTGGCATAAGCCTATCTCCATTAACGAAATTGAATCGGTAGATAAAAAGCTTTCCACAGAGGAACCTCACCACCCGGATGGTTGTATGGGCAAGTGCTAACAAGCAGAGTGACAGGAAAATGAATCCAATCTGTAATAACCAGCCTGTGAGCCTCCGTGCCTAGGATTATGTCTTAGACACTATCATCTGCCAGTAGAGCCAAGAAAAGAGAATGTTTGAAGGTGAAAATCCAAGGTGCAGAAGGTAGGTTTAGGGTTCTCTGTGTAAAACTGGAAGGACAAAGATACAGTTTCACTGCTTGTACAACATTATACAAAAATAATGCAGAGAATGCAAGCACCTATTAACAGTGGCCATGTGTTAGGAGAGGTGTGATGGGTTCAGGGCAAATAGAGCTCAGAAGCGGGAAGGACACTTGCCAGGGGTGACTTTTTATACTTTCTGATTATTAAATCATGGGCATGTAGCACCCATTCAAACAAACTAATTAATCTATTCAGAAAAAAAAAAAATAACTGAGGATGGTCTGAAAACTGTAATTGTGGAGAGGTACTGAATACAAGTAACAAAATATTATAAAACTGTAATAACCACAAATTCTAAAATCAATAATTAGCAGGGTAAAATTATCACAATCACCTAACAAATATGTCTCAGATACACAAATCTCTTTACCAGTTCTGCCTTAAGAGATACGACTTAAAACTAAAAAGCAAGTGAGTTTTAAGGAAGAAGAAAAATACCAAGAGGAAAGTTATTTTGTTTGTTTACCTTATACCACGTTATTGAATCCAAAACACAACTCTGTGGGAAGTTCAGATGACACGTAAGACTATCGTCCCTTCCGGCATGTAGTATTTGTTTGTATTCGTCTGATAAAATCAGTTGACCATTTCCAGAAATATCACACCAGTATTTTCGTAACACAGTTAGGTTTACATGTATTCTGTGACAGGTGTTTGTACTGCTGTAAGAAAATGGCAAATTGAAACCTCATGAACTCAACCACAAAATCAAATGAAGCCGTTCATTCTCAAACACGGCCACATCATCATCAAGATATGGTGAGAATGTTCTACCTCAAGCAAGGCAGGATGCCATCTCACACATCATTAATTACAAAAGGAATAAAAACAATATTTCTGTCACGGAAATGCTGGACCACACCTTAGCCAAGTGGTCAGGCTAAACACCACCAGTGAGGAGCAAATGGACACCGTGAGCCTTGGAGTGTGTTGTCTGAAGAGGACACAAACGTGGTTTTCCAGCTGAGAAGGTTCAATCTCAACCTACTCATGAAGAGGTATCCGGCAAACCCAAATCAAGGGATAGAATATAAGACAATTGCCCATATCCCTTAAAAATGTCAATGTCATGAAGAATGGACTAAGGAACCGTTCCAGATGGAAAGAGAATGGAAGTACCTGATAGCCAAATGTAATCTATGAGGCCAGATTGCCCCCCCCCACCAGAAAGGAAAGAAAAAAACATTGATAAAGAAAAATCAAGACAATTGACAAAATTAGCATATGAGTGGAGAATTGACAAAAAATATTGTATGACAGTTAAATTTCCCAGATATGATAACTCTACTGCAATTCTGTAAGAGAACATTCTTGTTGATAGCAAGTACCCATCAAACTACTCCAGGCTAAAGGAGCATGATGCATGCAACTTACATGTTTTGGAAAAAATGGTTTAAAAAATATTGCATGTAAATCTACATATACAGTTGAGCCTTGAACAATGTAAGCATTAGGAGCTCTGGATCCCTTACACCAGTGAAAATCTGCATAGAACTTTTGATTCCCCCCAAACCAAACTACTAATAGTTCTCTGTTGGCCAGAAGCCTTACTGATTACATAAACAATGGATGAACACATATTCTCAACTTTATGTGCATTATATACTATATTCTTATGATAAAGTAAGCTGGAGGGGAAAAAATGTTAAGAAAACCATGAAGAAGAGAAAATACATTTATAGTAATGTACTGTATGTAAGTGGACCTGTGCGGTTCAAATCCACGTTGCTCAGGGGTCAGTCACATATGGAGAGAGAGAAAGAATTTTAAGGTAAATGTGGCAAAATGTTAAACAGTGAGGGAATCTAGATAAAGAGTGGATGGGACTTCTTTATTCTTGCAAATTTTGTGTGAATTTGAAATTAATTCAAAGTAAAAATATGCAGTTTACTAAGTATGCATCGATCTGTATGTCAAAGATTTGTGAGAATCCGTGTTTCTTCCATGACAGACAGCATCTATGTCTACTTTCGATGAAAGGCTTTCTTTCCTGGTTTCACAGCTCCCAGATTTAAGTATTTTAAACGCAGCCTAGACATCCAGATGAATTTGCGTGCCAGACCATCTCAAGCTCTCATAATCTAGAGTCAAACAGGACAGCAGACCTCCACAAGACATCAGCATCCTGATCCACATGGTGAGTGGAATTGTGCAGAGGAGCCAGGAAACAGGGGTTCGCAACCATGCCCCCTTGTGAACCATGGAGAGTCAGAGGCAAACCCCATGGAGACAAAACAAGGGGAGAGAGCAAGATCCCCTTTCTGGAGTACCAATTTCATACATCATCTCAGCTAACTGTCCCTTCAACCCTATCAGGCTGGCAATACTTCCATTTTACAGATAGGAAAACCAAGGTTCAGAGTTATCAAGTAATTTGCCAAGGATTAGCACATCAGTGAGGGAGGGTAACAAAACTGAGGCCCTCAGCCAGAATTTGTCCACAGATGTGTTTTATTTAAGTCACACACACAAAGCTTACTGAAAAGTTACACACACACACACACACACACACACACAATTTCCAGGTTCCCCTGAAAAATTAGAAAACGGGCTTGAGCTGAACAGACTACTGGTGGGGCATGTGCTTTCTGGCTGTTAAATTCCTATCACAGAACCCTTACAAAAAAAGGTGCTCAAAGGAGGTTTATTCCTATCTAGTTGCACGACTCACACACACTTCTGGCATTCCAAGAAGGAAGGCAGCAATAACACTGGCAGAAACAGGTTTGCAAGCCAGTCTGGCTTGTGGCCTCATTTTAATGGGAAAAGATGCTTCTTCTGTTCCAACAACTGATTTACAAATCTGTTCTAAAACATGTTCACTAGAAATCGTCTGGTAACAATTATAAAACTCTATTTCATTCTTCTCTTTGAATTGTCTATGTTTATTAAGAATTCTCCTAAAAGAATTCTCTATGTATATAATCAAAACATTATACATTTATATGAATATGTATACATTATACATATTCATATACATATATGAAACAGAGAGAGTTTTTTTTTAAATAAGAAACTTACTTTATGACACATTGGTAGATCCCAGAGTCCTCCTGTGTCAGGGGGAGAAACAAAATCCAGTTTTGCTCCTGGTGAATTCTAGACTGTGTGTTTTTGGATATTGGGATTCTGCTAGGATGCTTGTACCACGTCACATGTACCTTCCCAGACGTCAGCGGAGGGTACGTACAATTAAAAGCAAAAGGCTGGCCTGCGGAAGGTGCCTCGTTTTGCAAACTAACATTCTTGCACGCGTCTAGAGGAAGAAAGAGGGAAAATCAGGAACGAGAACTCTAGTGTTACTGATGATTAGTCTTAACAAATGCCTCCTTAATTTTCTAGCCAATCTGAAATTTTATTGGGGAGTTTTCTCAGTGTGGGAATTGCCTGAAATAGTCTGCTGATGTGAAAGCATAATTGGAAGTCCTTCAAATGTGTTCGTAAAACACGCTGACTCATCCTCCCCACTTGGAATGATTTCTCTCCTGCCCGTCCTCCCTAGGAGCCCAAACCCCTTCATCCTTCCCTGTCAGAGTAAACGCTCCTGTTCCGAACCCTCGTCCTGTTTCTTTCTGCTCTGCTCTCACTGTCTTTTTTTTTTTTTTAAGGTTTTATTTATGTATTCGTGAGAGACACACAGAGGGAGAGAGGGGCAGAGACCCAGGCAGAGGGAGAGTGGCCTCCACGCAGGGAGCCCGACGTGGGACTCGATCCCGGGACCCCAGGACCACGCCCTGAGCGGAAGGCGGCCCTAAACCGCTGAGCCACCCGAGCTGCCCTATTTCACCCTGTCTTGACTATAAGGTGTTAAGTCCCCCGTCCCGAAGAGGAGCGTCAGACAATCCGCACGTTTTGAACCTCGTTTCTCCCGGATTGCCTAGCATCGCACTGCCCTGCGCATCTTCTCGGAAGAAACCTGTTGCGCGATGGTTTCTCGGTTTTTGCCCTGGGGCGTAAAATGACCTCCGGCCACAGATAAAGTAGTGTTCTAGCCGTCCGAGCGTCCAGACCTGCCTCTTCGCACCCCCGCGCGCCCCCGCCAAGTCACCTCGGAACCCCACGGTGACGCCTGAGGCGCGCATCCGACGCCGGGCACCGAACCCGCATCCCGGCGGGCGACCGCGGGCGGCCTCGGGGCCGGGGGCAGCCGAACCTACCTGCTCGGACAAAGGACGGAAGCGCGAGGGACACGCCGCAGAGCAGCAGGGCCAGCATCCCCCGTCGGGCTACAAGGGAGAGAGAAGGAGCGACAGGAGGCGGCGCGGCGGGGCGGGCGACCAGGCCTCTCCCGGGGGCGAACCCACCGGAGCCTCCCCTCTGGGTGGGGAGCCCTCCGGCCTGGGCCGCACACTCCCCGACGCGTCCCCGGGCGGGAGCCCCAGAATCCCGCCTGGAGAGGGATCAGCGGGGGGGGGGGGTGGCAGAGCGGCCCGGGAGGGCGGGAGGGCGGCCGGGCCCGGGGTGCGCCCCGACCCCGCCGCGCCGCAGCGCACCCGGTGGCAGGCGCGCCCCTCGCCCCGGGGTCCGCCGCCGCCGCCGCTCACCTGCAAGAAGCCAGCTTCAGCCTACCTGGCGGGGGCCGGCGGGAGAAGAGGGGAGCGGGAGCGCCGCGGGCCCAGCAGGTGGGCCGAGCTGCGCACCCTCGCCCGGAGAGGGAATCCGCCCCCCCCCCACCTCCCCAAGGTCTCCCCGGCCTCCGGGTCGCGCACATGTTTGCCCGCCGCCTCTTTCCCTCCACGCCCCCCGGAGGGTGGGCGCCCCGCCCGCTCGGCTCAGCCCACGCTCCCAGCAGGTGCCTACCTGCCCGGCGGGCCGGAGCGCGCAGGATCCCGAGCAGAGGCAGAAGCCGGCGCACAGGCCTGAACCCAGGCGTGCAGGCTGCTTCCTTGCCGCCGTGGGCAGGGCGAGCGTGGGAAGGAACGGTGGCATCACACGAAGAAGTGGCTTTAGAGGCGTGTTACCTGGGTTTCTGGCGGCTCAACAGGTCTTCCGTGGGCAGTCATGTCCGCACGCATCTATTCCGAAGAGCCCCCGTAGATGAATTCTTTCCTTTTCAAACCCCATTTGAGCAGTTATTGCGTGCCCTGCGCGCCCTGTACAGAATGCCCCGAAGTGGAAGCCGTCCCCAATGACTTCCAAGGAGCAGCGTGCATCTGCCTGAGTCGTGCTGTTGTTCACTCCTGTAAAGCAGACGTCCCAGTGTGATCCTGAAATACCTGGAGCCCAAAGTCTGGTCCTGTCTGAAATTTCCAAATACGAGGATATCAACCAGGACTGTTGCCCTGGCCATCAGGAAACACCCCCAGAGAGATCCCAGGGCGATACTGGGACTTAGAAAAAATGTATAACATGTGATCTCCATTCAGCACATTCCCAGTCAAGCTGTATCTGGTGGTGGTGGTGGTGGTGGTGGTTTTAGAGACGGTGAGACAGAAGCAACCGCAGAAATAGGCCGGGAGTTCAGCGACTGCATTACTAGCAGAGCCCTCTGTGACAGGCTCGAGGCCAGTGGTTGGTTTGCACATTTCTCGGCTCTTAAACATTACTGGGGATTCCAAAGTGCTTGTTTATGTGGCTTGTATCTATCAATATTTACTATATTAGAAATTAAAACGGAGAGCATTTAGAACGTTTATTTTCTTACTTATTTTAAATAACAACAATAAGCTTAACATAAATGTTGCTGTAAGTAGTGTACGTTTTATGCAAAACAACTGACCTTTCCAAAACAAACAGAACTATCGAGAAAAGTGATATTTTTCTACATGCTACCACATACCCCTACTTAGTGTTTGCAAATCTCTTTGATGTGTAACGTAATAGAAGACAGATTCTCATACCTCCTTTTGTATCAAAGCTCTTACCGAAATAACATGTCAGGAAAAGTCCACTCTACTCAGGTGAGTGAATGAGAATTAAAAAGACAAGTAAGGTCTGAATATTACTGTGAAAATTGTTTTGATTTCACAGATCTTGAGGATCCTTGGGGCTCTCACACTTTGAGGACCCCTTTGTTAAGCTATAAATGGAGATCTTTATTATTTTCCCCTAATATCTGCATTCAGTGAGGTTCCTCTGTACAGACACATTTTGCAAGGTCCATGCCCCCACCCAAAACAAAACAAAGGTCTGACTATAAAAACTGACAAGTGACACATATGGAACTATTGTTATAAGCAGTGTTAGAAGTTTATTTTCAAATTTTTCTTAATTTTCATTGTTTCAGTTTCTACCTTATGAACAAATTTGTGTCATATCTTATTTTTTTAATAGTTTGAGTATAGGCATGAGTGCCAAGTCCAATCAGTATAGTTGCCCCAAAGCTTATGAAGTTTCAATGGGCTGCCCAGGCCCCTGCAGTGCCTCTTTTTTTTTTTTTTTTTTTTTTAAGATTTTATTTATTTGAGAGAGAGAGCAGAAGCAAGGGGAGCGGCAGAGGGAGAGGAAGAAGCCAGCTCCCCACTGAGCAGGAGCCCCCATGCAGGGCTCCTGGATCTCAGGGGCCCCCATGCAGGGCTTCTGGATCCCAGAACATGACCTGAGCTGAAGGCAGAAGTTAAACCAACTGAGCCACCCGGTGGTGGGGCCCCTGGAAGCATCTTTCATGGGACATTTCTGGTATTTCCTTTTGCTGCTGAGGCTCTGGATGGAAACTTACACTTTCGGGGACGGTTTCTAGGCCAACTGTGTTTCCTGATATAGGGAGAATGAACCTCTTGGCTTTGAAGGCAGAACTGATGCGGGCAGGATTACAAACTTTACAATTAAAAACAATGGAAAACCAAAACACATATCTAGGATCTCAATTACCTTAAAAGCTTGGAGAAACTCCAGAACATTGTTCGCTAATGAGAAAGGGGGAGGAAGAAATGCAAACTATTTATTTATGGAGCTTTTAGGCTTGCTTTGTTACAGCCATGAGAAAATTACTGTTTTATGCAGGAACTTCCTGAATTCAATCACTTGATTATTCTTCTCTGGTTTTCACATTTAAAACGTTCCTTTTAAATGTGCATCATGCAACAGTTAACAGCTAAGTAATTCAAAACAAGTCATAAGTCGTGCAAGCAAGACCCAGCCTCAGAAATCACAGTGACCTAGTTTCCTGTATATGTGTCTCTCCCACCCCCCAAACTCATTATCCTATTTAGCGCTTACCATTCTGATGTGTGTGTGTGTGTGTGTGTGTGTGTACCCCTCAAGCAATATAAAGTATGACTTGCAAATGTTTTGAGAAGTGTGGCTCTAGTTCATGCAAAGCCACTACTGTATGATACTCCATTGTATGAATGTACTGCAACTTATGTTTCAAACCATACCTTTGGGTACGGTTTCAAATTTATATTTGGTCTTAAAAATAGTGTTGTGTCAGGCTCCTGGTGGCTCAGTCAGTTAGGCATCAGACTAGGGATTTTGGGATTTTGGCTCAGGTCATGATCTCAGGGCTGTGAGATGAAGCCCAGAGACAGGCTTTACACAGGGCAGGCAGTCTGCTTAAGAGTTTTTATCTCTCTCCCTCTCCTTTTGCCTCCCCCCCTCTAAAAAAAATAGTGCCGTGGTAAAGATTTTTGTAATGTTCTCATGTGTCGACTCTTGAGAAGTTATCTAGTGAGTAAAATTGCAGCATCATTGGGTAGATGCATCTTTGGCTATATTAGAAAAATCCTTCATTTTATCCACATTAGCATTCTTTTTTTTTTTAAAGATTTTTTTTTATTTTTATTTACTTATGATAGTCACACACAGAGAGAGAGGCAGAGACACAGGCAGAGGGAGAAGCAGGCTCCATGCACCGGGAGCCTGACGTGGGATTTGATCCCAGGTCTCCAGGATTGCGCCCTGGGCCAAAGGCAGGCGCTAAACCGCTGCACCACCCAGGGATCCCCACATTAGCATTCTTTAGAAGATAAAGTTCTCGTTCTTTCAATGTTCTTGTCAATAGTTGATAATGTCAGGCTGACTTTTCCATGTTGCCAGTTTTGCCAGTCCAATGGTGTAGAAGCTCTCTTGTGATTTTATTTTACATTTCTCTAATCATTAGTAAGATGGGACATCTTTGCCTATGTTCATTGGCCATTTGTGTGTATTTCTAAAAACTTCTTTTTGTGTGTGTTGCCCTTTTACCCCCCTAGTTGTTGGTCTTCCTCTTGTGGATTTCAGAGAACTCAGTAAATCCCACCCCTGGTGTCTCCTGCAGTTGCCTTCAAAAGGAGGCACAGATGTATCTCGCTGCCCTCTCCTTGAACCAAAATTCAAACCCCAGCAGCGCCCCTTATCTGGAAGATAGGGATGATGAGACCCCCCCCTTTGCAGGGGTAACATTTATAAAAACCTCCTTGCAGAGTGCCTGACAGCAACAGATACTTGATGAGCACGGAGTTTATCCTCATCCTCCCAGTGACTCCTCCTCTTTCCAGGCTTTTCCAATTGCAATGGGAACATTCTTGGAAGTTTATGCCATTAAGCACAAGCCATGAGTAATGGACTTTCAATTGTTTTGTTGTTTGGTTTGGTTTGGTTTGTTCTTTTGTTTTGTGGAAGCCGAGAAAAATTAAGGCCATTCCACCTCAAGTTTAGCATTAGCACAAGTACAGCCATTTTAGGGCCCTGGGAATAAGAGCTGAACTTTACAGGAAAAGCTCAGAATGCCCTCAGCAGAGAATCCCATATCAGATCTTAAGAAAGCCCCCCACCCTTTCCCCCATATTGGAATGGAAAAAATTCCTCCACCCCTTCTGAAAATCCCCTAGATCAGCCCATAAAAAACCCAGCTGTAACCCACTTTGGGGTCCAAGCCCCTGCTCTACTGTATGGAGTATACTTGGACCCAAGCTCGAGCTTATTAATAACCCTCATGTACTTGCATCAGTGTCAACTCCTTGGTGGTTTCTCGGATTCGCAATCTTGGGCACAACAGTTTGGTGAAGTGAAAAAATTCCTCCACAGATTCATTGCCTCATCCTGAGAACAGGTGTAGAGCAACAATCTATGGGTGATGGAGGCACTGCTGAGCTCAGATTGGTTGAGTTTCACCTTCTGTCTATTTGCTCCTCAGGCAAGCATGTGATGTGTATTCAGAAGAGTAGCAGAGCAATGGTTTTTATTAAAAGGTCTCCTATATAAATGCATATTTTATATAATGTCCAGTGGCTTTTCTATGGTCTAGTTAAACATCTGATGATTTCCCTCCTACTCAACCTAACATGCACAGAAGGTTTCCCAGTGAGAATGAAGTGGAAATACATTCACATGTAATGGGCAAATCCTCTGGATTAGGCTGGGATGAGGGGTGGAGGTGCTCCCAAGATCTTTATACATTTAAGGTTCTTAGATTCTCACATGTGTCCTCTCTGGGAGACTTAAAATGTGCAGCAGCAATTCTGTGAGAGGCTTTTGTGGCTGGAAAGACATGAACCCCCATAGATGGAAGGAGCAGCAGCCTCTTCCTGAGGTCCTGCACCTGCTGTCTCCCCGTCAGCCCCATGATCAGTCTGTTCACTCACCCACTGAGTATCCACACAGCCCCTGTGCCCCTGCTGCACACCGGGTGACCTCCTGCATGCTCAAAACAGCCATAGAGAAGATAGATCCTCTCAGAGTTTACAGTCCAGTGGCTGGTATGTGGAGTGGAGGGACCAGAGATTGGGAGAAACACCGAGTAAGAGACGGTTTCAGGCTCATGAGAACCATATGAGGGTATGAAATATGGTGAAATGATAGGGTGTTGGGAAAGGCTTCACTAGGGAAGGGACCCCATAGCTGAGGCCTGAGTGATGACAAGCATCAGGCTTCCTGGTTCTCAGGGAGTCTGCTTCTCCCTCTGCCTCTGCCCCTCCCCCTGCTTATTCTTTTTCTCTCTCAAATAAACACTTTTTTAAAAAAGTAATTAGTAATTATTTTTAAGTTGTACAGTTACGAATGACTTTTTTCTTACTTGTACTTTTTAGAAATTTCTGCATTCTCTCAAACCAATATTGTTTCCATAACACAAAAAGATTTTTTTAATTCATTTAAAAAAATGGTTCTCATACCATCAACTCTCAGAGGGATTAACTGTCCCCACTTGCTGACAGCCTCCCTAAACTTTTACTCCCTAAATGCCCTGCATCGTCATGTCTCCCAGCCAACTTACTTTATGCCTCATGTCCTCCCATCCCAAATCTCAGATAGCTCCCCTATACCAACTCTGAATGATAAAGAGTAGGTATTTTACTCAGGGATTTAAGACCTTCTACAGCATGAGTTCATTCCCTGCAGTACTCTCTCTTCACTCTGTTCTCTGTGGCTAGATTTAAGTGTTTTCTGACTTTGAGATTTTTTGTTTAGTATGGCATGAGGCACATAATTAGCACTTTTACAACAATCCAAAAGTAAACTTGAAAGCA